AAATCTGTGCCATGTGTTGTTCTCTTTTGAAGTCAGTTCTAGACTGTTGTATTTCCTTAACAATCTAAGTTGTCCATACTAGGAGCTTAGGAACTTCTACATGCCTGCAGTTAAGTTGCTTCACTACATTTTCTGATACAAGGCTGTTTCTCTAATATGGGTCCCACTTGAATTCTATTAAAGAAAACTGGCTTAACCTGAATGGCAACAATATAAATAAAAGTACAGTATCTCTGTTCTTTCTACGTCTTTTTTTTTTTTTTTTTTTTTTTTTTTTTTTTTTTTTTTGGTTTTTCGAGACAGGGTTTCTCTGTGTAGCTTTGGCGCCTATCCTGGCACTCACTCTGGAGACCAGGCTGGCCTCGAACTCACAGAGATCCACCTGCCTCTGCCTCCCGAGTGCTGGGATTAAAGGCGTGCGCCACCAACGCCTGGCCCTTTCTACCTTCTTTTAAGAAGCACAGTAACATAACCAATATTGCAAGTAGATTTTATCAGTTAAGAATGGGGGATTTTTTGTTTTGTTTTTTTTCTGTTCTTTTCATGTTTTGTTATTTCTTCTTAATTAATAATGTGTGAACCTGATGAAATGATATAGGATAAGGAGCAAAGAGAAAGTTGGATTTTAGCATGGAATTACCATATGCCGTAGTGTGTCCAAATAGAAACCCTTTGAATCAATGCTTTATTGCAGAAATTTTAAGTTCTGCCTCTTACTATCATTGCCCTCCCTCAGGTTCCACTAATTGCTTTCTAATGGAGAACTTGATTCTATAAAATGTCTACCAGTTGCTTTGTGGACCTTGAACCCAATTCTTAGAAAGAGGTGGTAAGGGTGGGGCCAAATTACAGAAAACAGTTCTTAGAGAGCAAGTTGCTGTGGAGTTTGGGAAACATGAATAAGTCAGACAACAACCAGCTCCAGAGTACATGAGGTCAGGCCACACCAGGCTGTGAACGAAGGCAGACAGCCTTGTGTGCCTCTGGATTCTGACTTACCCTTTCTTCCATCAGTATCTATTTCTGTTCTAGAATAAATGATCTTGGATCAACTCAAAGCTATCCAAGGAAAACCAACAAATACCATTTTGCTACCTATGAATAGAATTTCTGTTCTAGAGGGAATGGGTTAAGTGTGTTGATTTTTTTTATCTTTTTTATATATACGATCAGTTACCAGACATGGTATATTACTGAAAAGCTAAGTTGACAGAAAAAAATATAGACTGGCATTTGCTTATTATGATTTAAAGTTGCAGGGGACTGGAGAGATGGCTCAGTGGTTAAAAGCACTGATTGCTCTTATAGAGGACCCAAGTTCAATTCCCAGCACCCACACAGTAGCTCACAGCCACCTATATGTCCTGTTCCAGGGGATCTGATGTGCTCTTATGACTTCCACAGGGAACAGGCACACATGTGGTGAACATATATACATGCAGAGCAGAACATTCATATAGTAAAAGTAAATAAAAACACAAAATATTTAAAAAATAAATAAAATAGAACCTTTGTTTTTGCCATGCTGGTGATTGATCCTATAGCCTCATTTGTGCCTACACAAGTGCTCTGCCACTAAGCTATTAACACCAGCCCTTATTGATTATATTTTCATAAATAAATTTTAAGTTCTTCCTGACACACACACACACACACACATATGTTTGTAAATTTGGTTTGACATAGTCCTGTGGGATTTTCCTAATTTCACCTCTTCACAGTTAAGGGCAAACCCAGAGCCTTCACACATGCCAAGCAAATTCTGTAATTTGCTACAGTAATCCAAAGAAGCCTAGTGAACGAACACAAGGGTTCGTTACATTTACACAGGCTGGAGTTTGAGCTACACTGTTTGTTTGGTGATTTCCTCCCTGTACAAACCCCACTGGGTAAGCCTTGCAGAAGGTTCCCATTACAGAAGTCCATTGTGCACTACAAGAAAAACAAGCTGGTTCTCATCCTGCTCTCTTCACTGGTGTGGTTGAATGTGGAATGCAGCCTCCACACATGACACTGCAGCACAGCAGCTGCATAGGTTAGAGCTTTTCTTGAGCTTTGAACAGATGAATCACTGGGTCGCTGAGCTGTCTCAAGGATTTTTGATAATATTTACCATTACACAGATTTCTCTAATTGGTACATAGGGCTTGAACAAAAGGAAACTGCTAGGTCTTCAAATATAGTTACTGAAAACAGTGTTATCAGAGTTCAAAGAAATCAAGGGTGTGGGGCTCAATAGTTAGTTTGTGGTGCTGTGTTCCTGCATTTTAAAGAGTGCATGTCATAAAGAGTGACTGCTCAACTTCCCCTTCCACTCCTGAGTCTCTAAGGAAAGATTGTGTCTGGTGCATTTCTTTATCTCCCTCTGCCTCTTACAAATGAAGGCCCAATAAAAGGTTCACTGCTTCTCCATGGCCTGGATTCCTGTCGATAATACAGAATAAAATTATGTTTTATGCTTTCCTAATGTTATCATTTTCCAGCCTCACACTGGAAGAAAATAAAATTAACAACTTCTTGTTACCTAGTTTCTCTGGATTGTAGGCTGGTTATCCTTTGCTTTACATCTAATATCCACTTATGAATGAGTACATACTGTGTTTGTCTTTCTGAATCTGGGTTACCTCACTCATGATGGTTTTTTCTAGTTCCATCCATTTGCCTGCAAATTTCATGATTACATTGTTTTTTTACAGTTGAATTACACTCCATTGTGTAAATGTACCATATTTTCCTTTTCCATTCTTCAGTTGAGGGACATCTAGGTTGTTTCCAGGTTCTGGCTATTACGAATAATGCTGCTATGAAGGAGCTTCCTCAAGTTAATGTGCCAGACTTTGTCCACTCCCCATGGGAGCCCTTACCTGTTGGGAGGAGTGAATGGGGGGGCAGGGCTGGAGGAAGGTGGGAGGAACTTTGGTTGGAATGTAAAATAAAATTTAAAACAAAAATAAATTTAATAAATAATAATGTGAAATGCCAGATTTGATAGTTGTTTATCTAAACATTATCCACATCATGTAACCAAAATTTAGTTAAGTTAATGAAAAAGTAAGGCACATAAAAGTCTCAAAAAAATTGATAACTTCTGTTTGTGTGTCTTTATTTGTCATTCTGGCTCCTTTTATTCTAATGCCATTTTATTTGTTTGGTTCAGAATCCTAAATTATAACCAGTAATCCCACCATTACATTGTAATTTCCTTTTTTAAAGGAAAACTGCTAACTGCTAGCCAATTGTCTCGTCATTGACACTTTTGGGGTCACTATTTTACATATTCTGTTAATTGGTATTTATTATAAAATTTTCATGAGCAAAACCTCTGCTCAACATCTTAATACCATAACTCTCAACTCTAGAATGGCAGTTACTGAAGTTGAAAGTGGAACTTTGATTATTCCTGTGTGGTAGAATTATGTAAACCTGCTGTCATAGAGTCATGGGGTAGGAGTTGAGGAAAAGGTGGCTGCAAAATTTGTGTTCTTGAGTTAGACATGTACTTCCTACGAGGTACATCTCTTCTCCACATCTTAGTGATGTCATGCTACCCTGTTTATTTCCTCCATAGCACTAATTACATAATGAAATTATTCTGCTTACTTCCCTGCTTCGCTCCTTGTCAAGTACTTCCCTTTATTTGATGTTGAACTACTAATACTTACCTCCGAGTTTGGCCCCTGATAGGAGCTTGAGTAATCAGAAGCACACTCAGACTCAAGTCCATGTATACCTAATTGCAATTTCTTTTTCCTTTTTTTGAGATAGGGACTTACTATGTGGCCTAGGCTTACCTCAGACTCTGAATATTTCTCACCACCATGCCCTGCTCCTACTTTTAATTTCTTCTACATACTGGAATTGAGGGACAGAAAGAGATTTCAGGAGCTAGCAGGTGACTCAGAGTCTAAGCAAACTTGCTGTGTTCAAATAAGGCCCAGGCTCCACTCCCAGCACCCACAGAGTTACACACCCCTCTGTAACTCCAGTTCCAGGGGATCCAACACACTCTTCTGGCCTCCTCAGACAGTGCACACAAGTGTACATATTCATACATGCAGGCAAAACACTCATACAAATAAAAATACTCCTTAGAGAAAAGACAGGTTTTTCCAGGAAGAGGTGGTGAACGCCTTTAATCCCAGCACTCAGGAGGCAGATCTCAGGGCCAGCCTGGTCTACATAGTGAGTTCCCAGACAGCCAGGCTACACAGACAGGCTAAACCTTGTCTCAAAACAAAGAAAGAAAAAAAAAAAAAAACAGCTTTTATGAACATCTCCCCCTGCACATTATATCCCAGCTTCCCAGTCCCTTGCCCACACAGCAGCTATGGGAGTTACTGCTCCTTGACTCATGTTGACTTCTGCAGTAAAGCATTAACATGGTGCAAAGATACAAGGCTGAATATGCGTCGTCTGAGCTTAATTTAATATAAGACTATTCAATTTATACCTTGTCTTTCATGTTCTTAACTCTGATATCCTAGTGGGACTGAAATTGTGTCTGAAGGCTGGGCACACTCCTTGCCTGAGGCTGCAGCAGACCTTTCTTCAGATTTAAAAGAGCTCAAAGCTGATTGTCCTCTAAGTGGAATCTGAACATCCTGGTTAAGCACAGGCCATCCCAATTAGAATTATCTGAAGTCCTGGCTTTTTATCTACTGATGATTATGATTGGAGAGCCTAAGAGCAATTACATTTTGTTAATGTCAATAGATAATTATTTCAAAAGATCTATTTCCTGCAATCTGAAGAGGCTTCTTTCCTCCATTTATCTGCATTTATTTTAAACCTGTTTCTTAGAGGAGTAGTTCTGCGGAGTAAGGAATGGGTGTCTCAAGCCTTCAGTACAAGCCCTTTGTCCTTTGTCTCAAAGGTGATCCTTAGTAGTCCAAGTTACTTCTGTATCTAAGAAAGCATTTGTTCACTGAGGAAAGTTCTGTGTAGACAAAGTATTTATCAAGAAAATATTTTTATGTCCTTAATAATATATAATTGTTTTTCTTGAAAGACTTTTTGCTGACTCTCATCTTTTTCTGGAAAACTGGATACTTCCAACCATATGGGGATGAACCATATGGGCATGAACCATATGGGGATGAACCACATGGACCACATGGACCACATGGACCACATGGACAACAACAGTACCATGCCACCTCACCATCACCCAACCACTGCCTCACACTCCCATGGTGGAGGAGACATGGTATGTGTCCCAGAGGATGGCACAGGCCCTTGCCCACACACTTGGATAATAGAAACATGGAGTTTTAGCACTGGAAGGTCAAAGAGAGAAACCAAAGCAGATTGTCCCTCCCCACAAGTCAGGTGATCTTCCTGTATTCATGTGGCAACATACAGAATGACACCAGAAACAAGGCTCTCTAGAATTCTTTCCTTAATCCTTTCTTTTGAAATTCACCCTTTCCTGAATTAAGTCCTGTTTCATGTAGAAAAGACAAAAGGACATAAGGTGGGGGTGGGGGAGACTCTTAGTGCCCAAGGTAGTAAAGCCTCCCACTACAAGTATTTCTTGTCTAGATGTGTTATGTCAGCCTCTTTGCCCAAGATTCCCACTAGGGTCTTCAGTCTTCTCTAACTGACTTGTTTTGGTTTTCTGGCAGCCTATGACCTTCTACTTTGGCTTTAAGCGTGTGGAACTATTGTTTTATGGTTTGGTAATCAACACACCTGGAGGTGAGTAACCACCAGATAATCTTTGAAGATGACAACCATGTGAGAGATCATAGTGACAGATTTGGAAATCCAGAGTCTTTTTCTGTCTATTGCCAGATCAATTTGGTTGTGCAACATAATCATCACAATTCCTATTCCCCAATCAGAAGATGAAATACATCATTTTTTTGATCCTCCAGTGAGCTTCCTTTAATTAATATGTATGTTTTGAAGCACTGAAAAATAATTAAAATGCCATATTAAGATATTTTGCAATCCTTTTCTTGTTTGAAGTTGTTACTGGTCCTAGGCCTAAGACTACATAGCATATTCAAATACCACAGCGTAACCCTACATTAAAAACTGTTGATCGTCAGTATTTATCCCTGGCCCACTAATGAACTTTGGGAGCCCATTCCACATGGAGGGATGCTCTCTCAGTCTGGACATGGGGTAGGGCCTAGGCTCTGCCTGGGATGATATGACAGACTTTGGAGATCCCCCATGGAGGGCCTCACCCTCCCTGGGGAGCAGAGGGCAGATTGGATGGGGATGGGGGGGTAAGAGCAGAGGGAGATGGAGCTGGGATTGGTGTGTGAAGCAAGATTGTTACTAATTTAAATTAAAAAATTAAAAAAAAAACTGTTGGTCTTGGCATGTATGGTAGTGAATACCTTTAATCTCAGCACTTGAGAGGCAGAGGCAGGAGGATCTTTGTGAGTTCAAGGCCTGGTCTACATAGAGAGTTTGAGGATAGCCAGACTACATAGACATTGCCTCAAAAAAAAAAAAGTATTGATCAAATAACTGCCTGTTTACAGATAAATAAGCCTCATATAGTGAAATGGTTGCCCTAAATCACACAGTTAGTATGACAGGGCTAAAGCAAGTACCATACTTTCTAGAACTCTCTAAGCCAGTGCTTTCTCTTCTACATCAAAGTATGGTTTCCATGTTCCTGGTACTTGACATATCATAGAGTCACTCTTAGTTTTAAGGTAGCTGTCACCTATCTTTTTGTATCTGTCATTTATTGGTGTGCTTTGCATTTAAATTGTAATTGCATGAGTTTAATTGTCACTTAAACTGCTTTAGGTATCAAGTTTATTTCTGAAATAAACAAATTTGATTTTGGAAAAGGAGGGGGAAGCATTTTGTTCAAATAGTATGTTACATTTAAATTAAATTAATCACATAAATTCATCTTGTCAATTCTTCACTATATATACATAATCTCTTAAAATGCCTATCAAAATATATAGGCAGCACTTTTAAAAACAGGTTGTTTTAGCTGGATATGGTGGTGCACACCTGTAATCCCAGTGCTCAGGCAGTTGAGGCAGGAGAATCTCCAGGAGGTCAAGATCAACCTGGGCTACACAACAAAACCCTGTTAAACAACAAACCAACAGTTGGCTATTCCTTTTTTTTTTTTTTCAGATAAGTCTCTATTGAGTGGGTAAAGAGATAACCATCCAATTATTCACAAACTGAGACTGATATTTTTTCCGTTTTGTTTTGAGATAGTTACTTGCCATGTAGCTCAGGCTGACTGTGCACTCATAATCCTCTGCCTCAGCCTCCTGAGTGAGCACTGGGATCACAGGCGGTGCCACTGTGGCTGGCAGCACACTAGCCGATGATTTTAACTGTGTCATTACCTCCTTCTTTCTTTCCTTCCTTCCTTCCTTAGAGATGGCTGGAGCTTTTGTAGCAGTGTTTTTACTAGCAATGTTTTATGAAGGACTCAAGATAGCCCGAGAAGGTCTGCTGCGTAAGTCTCAAGTTAGCATTCGCTACAATTCCATGCCTGTCCCAGGACCAAATGGAACTATCCTTATGGAGACACACAAAACTGTTGGGTAAGATGAAACAGATCCAAAGGAAAGTTCTATTACGCTGTCTTTAATAATGTAACAAAGCAGGTATTTTTTTCTGCCTGAGTTAGTGATTCTATGTAACTTTAGAAGTTACCAATGGTGGGTTATGGGACTTGGGGTCTGTAAAGGCACATACATGTTATAAGTTACAAGTGTTTGCCACTTTGAAAGAAGTTGAAAGGAATCCAGTTTTTTAAATATTTTCTAAATACTAATGGACATTTTAAGTATGTATAGTCAAGATATAAAAGAATGGCAGAATGCAATTGATTCCTTTATGTCAAAAGTTAGATCTAGTCAAACATGATGAATGCCTATAATCCAACACTTGGTGAAAGTTGGAGAATCAGAATTCAAGGCTGTCCTTGGCTACATAGTGAGTATGAGACCTCCTCAAGGAAAGTCAAAGGTTCTATCTTGCCACACAGAGACAGACAGACAGACAGACAGACAGACAGACAGACAGACAGACAGACAGACAGACAGACAGACAGACAGACAGACAGACAGACAGACAGACAGACAGACAGACAGACAGACAGACAGACAGACAGACAGACAGACAGACAGACAGACAGACAGACAGACAGACACACACGCACGCACGCACGCACGCACGCACGCGCACACACACACACACACACACACACACACACACACACACACGAGTTTCTAGGAGAGCTGTGATACGGTCCAGTTGAAGGCTGTGCTAACAGCTGCCGCTCTTCTCCTGACAAGCAGACTCTGAAATCTGACTTTCCTGTCTCTGTTTACTCCCCAGGCAGCAGATGCTGAGCTTCCCCCACCTCCTGCAGACAGTGCTGCACATCATCCAGGTCGTCATCAGCTACTTCCTCATGCTCATCTTCATGACCTACAATGGGTACCTATGCATTGCAGTAGCAGCAGGAGCTGGGACAGGATACTTTCTCTTCAGCTGGAAGAAGGCAGTGGTAGTGGACATCACAGAGCATTGCCATTAACGTCAGACTCCAAATGTGGCCTTATCATTTGCTGTAGGAAGCATCTTGGGACCGGAAGATATGATTCCCTCTCCAATCATCCCTTCTTTCTCCTGTCTCTTTATGCACACACACCTACTGAATAGGGGCTTAGTTGACAGTCTCTGAGTAGTGGTATTTCTATTAAGATGAAATTGACATTTCTCTTGAGAAGCCACCTGTGAGATGTCTTCTCCCTCATAATCCTGAGCCTTGTCTAATCCAGGTAGCTTCCTAGTTAATGACTTGGTTATCTGCTTCTTTTTATTTTTCTGGGTTTTTTTTTGGGGGGGGGTCTGGACATTTTTGTTTTAAACAGATTTAATATGTGTATTTGGTGGGTGGGATTCGGGGTCAGTGATAGAAAGGGATTTTAACTTCAAACAGGATTGATGGTAATTAGGAACATCTCACCCAACCTGAAACTTAAATTTCACACTAGAAAATAAGCTCCAGTCTTAACTCAGTGAGTGGGAAACATATTGTGCCTTTCTTTAGGTGTGATGTGTTACATCAAAATACTAGTAGTGTGTGGAGAGTGGTTAGGGACTAAATATAGGCCTAGAGTTTGTGGAGTATGTATTCTTGCTCTCTCATCAACTTGTGTTCCCACTTAACACTTTGATTAGAAATGAACTTACCAATCAATACAAAAACAAGACAATCAATTTGAGACAATAGAAATAGGGATTGTTAAATAAAACCATTGGCATTTTACTTTGACTCAGTACTTTGGTTTGTCCCAACTGAACAAAGCAAGGGTTTGTGTTTTTTTTTTCCTATTATTGTTTTTGTGTGTGTTCCTCAAAACCAATGATTTTCAAACTTAGAGTGTTTCAGAATCACCCATAGGGCTTGTTGAGGCACTACTTGGTGGACCTCAACTCTAGAGTCACCAAATTTAGCATTTCTAAGTTCCTAGGTGATGTTTCTAGTGACAGTCAGATTACCCTAAGTCAACATTAAAATAGCAAAGTTGCACCTGGAAAGGAACAGAGGGTGGGGCTACATGGTGTCGGGCCTGAGACTCTGAATTGCTTGTCAGTAGATGGTATGTCTTAGGCATATGTCACAGCTACATGCTGGTCAATACTTAACTCATTCCACAAACATTTAGCTCCAAATATGCACTCTCTCTCTCTATCTCTCTATCTCTCTATCTCTCCTCTCTCTTGTGGGACTATAGCCAAAGTACACTTAGCATATATAAAGTCTCTAGTCCTGACTTATAAAGACCTGGGGTTCCTTGGAAGTAGTTTGAAGGCCAAGAGACCTTTGATCTACAGTGCAGGTCAGCCAGTCAAAGGCCAGAAGTGCAAAAACCCAACTTTCTGTTTGGAGAGACATGGGGCAGTCTGCTAAGAGCCAAATTTTTCTAAGTGTGTCTATGTAGGTTCCCATCCTCTGCTTGACCACCTTTATTATTTATAGGGATTTACATAGATCACAGTGGCCAAAACCTTTTTCTCAATGAAGAATCCCATTGGATGTTCTGTCAATCATTAGTCTACATAGCTTGTTCCCAAACTACCTCTTTAAAGTGATTCTTCCTATGCTGGTCTGTTAAACCCTGCCCTCTTTGGTGCTAGATCCAGTTGTGCCTCAGCGAAGAAGAAACAAACCTGCTATCTTGTTGGCCCCGTGTTGTGGTTCTGAAGTTTATACTTTCTCTCTATGGGTGCCAATTAAACATTGGAGAACAAGGAATGTGTACTTTGGTGGCTTTGAACCAAGAAGAGGTTATAAGCCTACAGGACAGAGGCTAAAAAATCTAAGAAATTAACTTTAGAGTTTTGCTTTTCTCCTACTTCAATCTTGTTCTGCTGGGTTTTTTTAGCACTGCACAGTGAATGACAGGTACTGACAGAGCCGAACATTATGGTGCAAATAGCCTGTCCTGTTATCTCAGAAGCCAAGGAATAATAAACCCAGGGGAATAGAGAAACCACATTTAGTGGTGACCCTGGTGCTTTCTAGAGATCTCCAGATGAGCTGCCATAAAACACCTTCCAGGGGCTGAGATGCAGCTCAGATGTGGATCACTTATCTAAAACATGCCAGGCCTTGTTTAATCCCCAACACCCTAAAAACAGAGCATGAACTGTCAGAAACAGGACCTTATCAGTAAGGTGAGAATAGGACAAGGTGCTGTGAATCTGAACCAAGAGAAACCTCACTTTGACATGGTTCTCCAGGGTAGTTTCAGGTTAGAAGCAGTCTACTGCAAAGCCTGCACTTGAGATCCTTGACTAGCTTTCTAGAGGGTGTGGTTAGTTTGGGTATAAGGTAAGCTTAAGACCTATGCTCTTGAAATTTAATACCCAGCTTTTTCATTTATCTAAACTCCTTTCTTCTCTGGGAAGACTATGTCTGAATTTCTTTAGCCCTGCCTACTTTTCCCTTTCTTTTATCCCAAGCAGCTTAGTTTTTAAAATCTCTCAGCTTTCTGATACAGTAGACATAACAATGTTGTGGCTATAATTATCTTACCAATTAGAACTTGGTATTTACAAACCAAGTGAGGTTTTAAGTTTGTTTCAAAAAGCAGCCACCCCATTAGAATTTCTAGAAAGCTGGGTAAAGGATTACCTCCCCCAGAGTTACAGATCCTAGGTACTAACTCCAGTCCGAGATAGAAGAACACTCAACAGCCCATTGCCACATACGGAACCTCCACAGCATCCATCAAAGTTTCTTCACTACTATGGTAGGGTTGTCCCAAATTCCCTTTCAGATTGTGGGCTTTGGTTCCTTACTAGAATCAGGAGACTGAGGCAGGGTGTACATTATATCATTTAATCTTGAGCCTGCCCTTTCCAGCCACTTCAGAAGATTAATCTAAATGATGTCTGCATTTGATGTAATGCCTTAATCACTGGGTCTACATTCCTGTTGACTGTTTGAGACTGTAAGCTCCCAGAGAGCAGAATTGCTACAATGGGAATGTTTTAAGTGTTGTGTGCAAGAGAACAAAATAAATATCTTGATTTTGTGATTCTATGCATGTCTTGTCTACACAAAGTAGTCTCCAAATAAGCTGGTCTCTTTGAAGTCTCTGGAGATTCGCCATTATCATGGGCTCTACAATGTCAGTCTCTTAGATGGCATGGCCTTCTTTCTTTCATCTTACTCTACTTAAAAAGCTGGGATAATGCCTGCCAGATCAGCATGACCTTGTGCATAGGACATGGAGTCTTCATAAAGCTGCAGGTTTTTCAGTATAGGAGGGATTGTCGAGTTCAAAAGCTAACTTTTGCCTTTCTTGCATCCATAATTCATAATCTCTATATTCATGCCACCAGGCAGGAGCACTGGGTTTCTAGGAAGTTCACTGCTGGACTTTGCCCATCACTGAGGTAGTGCCAAGGTGTTGCTGTTGTCTTCCTGCTGGCCCCATAGTGCATCTAGTCATTCGTCATCACTCCTGAAATCTCAGTATGCTGTGATAAACGTGGCCTTTGGGGACAGTGGGCTCAAATCTGGGCTCCACCACTTAGGAAAAACTATTCTAACCATCTCTAAGCCTTAGTTTTCTTGTTTATAAAAAGGCAGTTGATAGTCAAGTGTGGTAACACATGCCTATCATTCCAGTATTTGGCAGGCTGAGGCAGGAAGGTCATGAGGAAAGACCTGAACTATCTAGTGAAAGGTCTTCAGTTTGGGGGTACAGGGGAACACAGGTGGATTTTCCTTTTGGGCAAGAATTATTATTAAGAGTTATTAACACCATGAAAATATAGACAGAAGTATGTCAGGGTCTGAGAGTTCGGGCCTCAGCACCAGTCAGGCTATCTCTGATTCTTGATGACTGGTAGAAGGGAAGGAATTCCAAAGGAATGTACCACTCTGGATATAGGGGAAGTGAGGAGGAAGGGCACATACAGGTGGCAGATGTGCCCCCACCAGGAGCCCTGTAGTTGCCTGAGTAACAACCTGGTCTATAAGTCTCCTAGGGAAACAGAATAGAATCTCAGCACCTGAGTATTGTGTTTCAAGATGCTCCACAGCATGTCTGTCTCCCTTTAGCAGCAGGGATCTCAGAACCAGCTATGAAGATGGAGACAGAGAGGGATGAAGATGGGCATAACTTGAGCAGTGTCTGGCCTGGGCTTCAAACAGTGAGAAACCCTGTTGCAAAAACAAATGGCTATGGGTGTAGTTCAGTGGTTGAGTGCTTGCCTAGTGTGCCTTTCTAAGGCTCTAGGTTGAATCCCTAGCATGCCTAGGGTGTGCACTCACACACACAAAGGAGTAATAGCATCTTTTAAATTAAGGGCAATATGGATAAGGTACCCCATACAAGACAGGCACATTCAAGTCATGTTACATTTTTACTATCTACTAGTTATTTTGTCCCTGAAGACTTCAGGAAAATGAAAAGTCACTCTTCTGAATAAGGTCAATATCTTTACATGTTGATAATCTGGAAATGAATAGATCCTAAGGAATGTAAATTGAAACATATTACAATGTCTTGCCCAAAAAAAAGATCAGCAGTTGCAGTAAGTCCTAGTCTACTTATGAATAATTGTCTCATTCTGTTAATAAGACAGTATGGACATTCTAAGAAACCTAAAACTAGAAACCTCTCTCCCCACGGCACACACACAGTTTTCAGCCAAGAACACTAAGAAAGCAACTTAGCACAGGCCACTTAGAAGCATGGGCTTGGAAAGCAGACTGCCCAGGTTCAAATCTCCTACCTACCAGTCCATGGTTGAGCTCTGGTTTCACTTCTGCAAACTCAGAAAGGTGTGCCCTGCATGTATCACTCAGCACTGTCTTACACAACCCTTTGCATGTCAGACATGTTAATACAAAAGACATGTCATGTAGGAGGCATGAAAACAACTGTGAGAACTACTGGAGAGTTGCAGTGGAGAAGAACTGATACAGGCAGAATCTTTTTCTATTTGCCCTTCTGTAAGGCCTTTGCAGGCTGCAATAATATGAGTCCCCTATCTACAGCATGTGTCTGGCTTTTATTGTTTTTTTAAGACAGTAAGGTAACAGGACTTAGGGATCATCAATAAAACAGGAATAAAGGTTTTATAAAAAAAGCTTGCAGAAAAAAAGGAAACTACACATCTCCCTCTATTTCTACCTTTCCATATACATCACTCACAAACTATCCAAAAGCCTGGGTAAAGATCAGCTACGCAGTCTCTTTGAAACTTGATTCAGATGTTCTGGCTTCCACAGCTGGTGGTTCTGTCCCTGGATTTTTATGGTAAAATGGGGCATGGTGCAAAAGTATCCAGAGTTCAGATGGGTTCCGGCTGCAAGAATTCTTAGACAAGTCCCAAGGGAAGAATAATTAAAGTGCCTCATGCTGTTAGAAATTCTCGGTGTTTCCCTCATTGTAAAAAGCCTTTCTGTAAATGGATTTGACTGACATTTTATTCATTAGAATCCAATCTCCATAAGGGTAGAAGTTTTGTCTTGGTTGGTTGGTTTTTTTGGTTTTGGTTTTGGTTTGGTTTGGTTTGGTTTTTAACATTTTGAGAGAAGATTTCACTCTGTAGCCTAGACTAGCCTCCAATTCATGAGACTCCTACCTCAGCCTTCCATGGGCTGGGTTACAGCTATGAGCACACTCATCTGGGATCTCTGTTGCTCGCAGGATGGTCAGCAGTCACCAAATACTGAATAAACAAGTGAAGGGAAAGTCCAGGGCATCAACTGCAAGTGTCCAGGTTTGGGGTCATTTTGTAAAGACAAGGACAATGACATCACCTTTGGTGGCAATTACCTCTCAGAGCTGGGGACTTCATTGCTACTACCTTTAGGGATGTCTCACATTCTTCCAAAAATATATTTATTTTTAAAAAACAAAAATCAGGTAAGCTTTCCACAGTCCAATTTTCCAGAAACAAGCCAGAATTTGGCTTCTATCTTATCAGAAAAGTTGAACAGCAGTAACTTCATGCAGACATTATTTCTCCCTGCAGGAGACAGAAAACATTCTGCTTGGTTGTACACACTTAATTCTCTAAATCTGTTCTGTATTTCTGCCATCATTTTATTCCATTCCAGAGGTCTGGCATGCTAGAGAATCCATCTCTAAAACTCAAAGTTTCCAAACTGAGATGTGCGGTTGTTGGGCTTAGGTTGGGGTTTATAACCAATTCGATCGTTAATCATTTGTTCCCGGCTCTTGGGGTCGCTGCTGAGCCCTGCGGCCCCTTCTCCATCACTGGTTCCTACACCTTCCACATCTTCCTTCTGCTTCTTACGGGTCTGAAAGTACATTAAAAAAAAATTAGGAAAAACATTCTTCCTATTAACAAATGTTTAGCTAGTATTTACCATGTGCTAGGTATTGGGTAAGGGGCAGAGTTAGAGCCTAATAAACAACAAATTGATATCCCAAGTTTAGAACAGATACAAGAAGGATATAGGCATGCAACCTTAGAAGATGTAACTCTATCTTCCAGGATATCACTGTCTAGAATGCAATGGGCAACGAGACTATTTATATATATATTATATATATAGTGAGTTCAGAGTTATAATGGGGAAGTCTACAATACCAAAGAGACACAAAGAAAAGGTGGTGAGGAATTTAGTGTACAATACAAAGGCCCAGCAGGAACCTGCAGTTGGACATAGTAGATATGGGGCAACAAAAGATGTTTCAAGAAACTAATTTTAATGAGAACAAGTGAAAAATGGCATGACTAGTAGTCACCAAAAACCCACAGCCTTGCTGGACATGATGGCGCATGCCTTTAATCCCTGCAGTATGGGAGACAGAGGCAAGTAAATCTCTGGAGTTTGAGTCCAGCCTGATCTAAAAAGTGAGTTCCAGGACAGCCAGGGTGGTTACACAAAGAAACCCTGTCTCAAAAGAAAAAAGAAAAAAATAAGCCTACAGCTTGACTGGTTCTACATAACTATGGTAACACAAGAAGAGATGATGCTACCTGGGGCAGGTCTCAGTTTGGGGGCTTCCTTCTGGCTTTTAAATTTTATAAATTAATTATTTGTTTATTGATGATGCTAGGATTGAACCCAAGGCCTCATGCATGGCAGACAAGCACTCTACCACCAAACTATATCCCAGCCTGTTTTGGTTTTGGTTTTGGTTTGAATTTTTTAGAAAATTTCCTCTTTATTCTTGGTACCACTACTCAACAAGCAATAAACCTAATGCAATGAAAAGAAAATCTACAACAGATAGATGACTTTGGTGTCAATCGAGCTGCACTACACTGCATCAACAGTTGCTACACTTGTGACTAGGGATCTCCTGAACAAGAAGGGTTTCCTACTTCTGCTGCAGAAACCTTCCTGATATGGATGTTACTCCCGCTGTGGCTGCTTTCCTAAAAAGTTTCTTTCAGGCATTGGCTGGACTGTCCTTAAGTAACCTGTAGCTTTCCTGACAACTCTTTCCTAAGAATGGAAGCCCTTCTCTGCTGTGTTTAGAATTCTGCTGCTGGACTGTTATAAGTTCAAAGCCGGCGGGACCTACATGGTGAAACAAGAATTATGCCACATTTCCACCACCACAAGTGACCATTTCCTTCACTAAAACTGCTTACTTACTTCATAGGTCTAGATTTGACTAATTTCCAAAGCCATGATAGTTCTCACCACCACTGTAATTCTTTATACCATTGCCGAATTCCCTTCATTATAGCCTACCATACATTCAATCACTACCATATCTACGCTAGGTTCCACAGCCTGAGCCTGTTTACAAATCTATAGAGCCACCACAGCCTGCTTCATAACAACCTGTGCTGTCACAGCCTCCATCACTGTAGCACTATCTTCTATCAAAGTTGCCACCATGACTAAAGCTACTTCAGCACTTCCAAACTTTTCTTCACAACCTAAAAAAGTCACCAGATCCACCCCTGCCCCTGGCCTCCTTGTTATCCAGTGGATACCCTCTTGTTCAAAAAGGGCCTTTTCCATGTCAAAATGATGCAATCAACAGTGTTATTTCTGAGTCAGCTGTATGATAATTGGCACAAGTTATAAGGACAAATCAACTCTATTCCACTGTTTTCACTACTTTCAATCTTGCTTCTGAATATTTTTTACTATCACCAACAAAAATCTTCACTATTGACGTACACAATGTATCTTCTCCACAAAGGGCTCTTTGGTTCCAGGGCTCTTTGCCTGTCAACCTTGCATGGATGAGCAAACGCTGATTTATCTGAACAATACCATGGTCCATGAACATTTTGTTTGGGGCTTTCTCAAGATCAGACAATTTGTGAGTAAGCCCCACTTTCCAAACATTCTCTTACACTCTCATTTGTATCTTCAATGCTCAGATCAATTAAAGTTCAACCAATCAAGACTTTGGTCCCTCTGATTCACAGTCCTTAATCTTCCTGTAGTGGCAGCAATGGCTGCAATCAGGCCGTAGGAGACCAGACTGACTTTACAGCCATTTGGAAACTGGACTAAGGACTTTCATAAAAGGAGTCCTGCTGTAAGTCACAAGTGAGTACAGATTCCCATAACTTTATAGTCCACTCCCGGATTATAAAGATGGCATTAGATGATTATAACTCTAAAAATGACAGATGCTCTATCTACAGTTTTTTACTGGGAGCACAGCTCAGCTGCTCTGATCACTGAAATTACGATGGTAATTCCACTACCTACTGGTGACCTGTGACTCCTCAAATCCCAGCATCAATGAATTACAGTCAATCAAATAAGGCTGGGTTGAGAATCCCTTCTCCAAAATGCTTGGGACCCAAAGTATTTGAGGTTGATTTTTTTTTCAGATTTTGGAAAAATTATGCATTGGCTATAGAGATCAAGCATCCCTAAGCTAAAAATCCAAAATCTAAAATGCCCCAATATGAAATTTCCTGTAGTTACCTTTCACATAGCAATATAAGGAACTTGGACAGTAAGATGGCTGCACAAACCTGACAATCTGAGTTCAATCCCCAGAACCCATTACTTGTTTTTTTTTAATAAATAATAAAACTGGATGTGGTGGTGGGTAGTTGTGATCCCAGCACTCCTAAGACCAAATTAGGAGGCAGAGACAGCCTAGAAACTCATGGGCAAGCTAGCCCAAAGTACACAACAGAAGCAAGAAGAGACCCTGTTCAACACAGTGGAAAGAGAGAACCAACTCCAAAAGGTTGTCCTCTGACCTCTACGTATGCATTGTGGAAGACAAACACCCTCACTTAACCACATCATATAAACAATAATAATAAATAAAATTGTGTATGTGCTTGTTTGTGTATTGAACTTCCTGTTACTCTCTAGTCAACACTACAAAGAACTACACTGAGCCAGGCAGTGCAGCACACCTTTAATCCCAGCACTGGTGGGGAGGGCGGGACACGGACAGGACATGGGGACAGGACGAGGACGAGGTGGGGACGGGACACAAACGGACCCAATGGGACGCACACAAGACACGACAGCACAGTAGAAAACAGTGGCTTTTCCTCTTTCCCTCTTCCTCTGGTTCAAATAAATAGCCCAGGCTGTCCCAACTTCCCCTACCTCTGCCTCTCAAGAATTAACATTGTAATTGTGCACTTCTTATTTGCTCTGATTTTTTTTTTTTCCCCAATTTTTCAAGACAGGGTTTGTGTAGCCCTGGCTGACCTAAAACTCACTCTGTTGACTAGGCTGGCCATGAATTTACAAAGACCCCCTGCCTCTGCCTTCTGAGTGCTCGGATTAAAGGTTTGTGTCGTCATATCTAGCTCTGGTCTTTTTAAAGAAAATCTTTATGTCATGTAAAACAATCTTACTTCTAATTCAAATAAAAAAAATCTGCAAAAAAAAATATCCTCACCATGTGTGTGCTGTGTCCATGGAGGCCAGAAGAAGGCCTCAGAACTCTTGGAACTGGAGCTACAGATAGTTTTGACCTGCCAGGTGGGTGCTGGGAACTGAACCTGGGTCGTTTGCAAGAGCAGCAAGTGTTCTTTCCTAAGTGAGTCATCTTTCCATCTCTACTCCTTGGTATTTAAATTTTTTTACTAAAGGTATTTACACCTCTGGAATAGCCTGTAGTTGTTCATAACATGAAACTTTTAAAATGATTTCATTCCAGTTGAGTATTTTCAGAGATTCCTTTGCTTCTTAGAAATAGTTTTCATAAAGATATTTGGGGGTGAACTTTTTTTAATTTTATTTACATTTTATTTTTTTCTATTTTTTATTTAAATTAGAAACAAGATTGTTTTACATGTCAATCCCAGTTCCCTCTCCCTCCCCTCCTCCCCTGCCCCCACTAACACCCTACCTATCCCATACCCTTTCTGTTTCCTTCCTTCCATCTTCCTTTTTTTTTTTGTTTTTTTTTTGTTTTTTTCGATAGCTTTGGAGCCTGTCCTGGAACTCGCTCAGTGCAGGCTGGCCTCGAATTCACAGAGATTCACCTGCCTCTGCCTTCTGAGTGCTGGGATTAAAGGCATGCCCCACCACCACCTGGCTTCCATTATGAATTCTTAAAAAGCAAAAAAGAATTGGACTGCCGGCAGGGCATTGGTGGCACACGCCTTTAATCCCAGCACTTGGGAGGCAGAGGCAGGCGGATCTCTGTGAGTTCGAGGCCAGCCTGGTCTCCAGAGCGAGTGCCAGGATAGGCTCCAAAGCTACACAGAGAAAGCCTGTCTCGAAAAACCAAAAAAAAAAAAAAGAATTGGACTGCCAAGACAGCTCTGTGAGTAAAAGTACTTGCTTGCCAAGCCTGAGTCTGAATTAAATCCCAGGAATAAACATGGTGAAAAAAGGGAAATAACTTCTGCACATAGTGCTCCAGCTGCCACATGTCCATGGCATGAGGACACACACACACACACACACACACACACACACACACACACACACACGCACACACACGCACACACACGCACACACACACACATACAAACATGCACGCACTGTAGAATACTCCCTCTTACACTGTAAAGATTTGGCACTCGTTTGATTTAATAACATCCTGATTGACTAGTAGCCAGGCAAAAAGTGTAGGTGGGACAGCCAAACAGAATGCTGTGAGGAAAAAGGGTCAGCCAGCCCCCAAGGAAGCAGGACACATAGAAAATGAGGTAATAAGCCATGAGCCATATGGCAAAGCATAAATAAGAAATATGAGTTAATTTAAATGTAAATTAGGTAGTAACAAGCCTGAGCTACCGGACAAGATTTATTATTAATATTAAGCCTTTGTGTTAGTTATTTGAGAACAGGTAGGCAGGACAGAAACTTCCACCAACACACACACACAGAGAGACAGAGAGAGAGAGAAAGAGAGAGAGAGAGAGAGAGAGAGAGCAAAAAAACTGATGTTACTTTATGAGCATTACAGTTGCTGGAATGAAGGGCAAGAGAAACCTAAGTTGTCAGTCTTCATATGAATAATGTAAAGCCAATTGCATGCTGGGTACATGCAAGATGTAATGTCCCCTGCCATGTAAATAAAGTACCTCCTAGAACAGCAAATGAAAATGGGCTTGTAGGGAACCCTTGTCTGGTCTGTGAAGAGTCCAGAGTTTAATATACTAATCCTTGCCTTCAAGGAGCTTCTGGCCCAGCTGAAGGAAACAGACCAACAGAGTTAAAACTGAGAGTGGTGGCACCTGGCAAGCGGTCAACATGGGGTGGTGGGTGAACTTAATCCAGCTGGGGGCTGGCCAGGACCAAGTCAAGATAAGGAGGGATTGGCCTGATGAAGGGATAAGGCACATTAAGCAAAGGGCACAGAGTGCACAGCACTGAGATTAAAAGATACCTTGGCAGATAAAGTGGAGAGATGAGCAAGGACCAGATCATAAAGGACCTCATGTACCATACTCAGGTGTAGCCAGAAGTTTTTGTTGTGCCTGTTCCCACCACCTTTCAGCCCCAAATAAACACACTGCCACTTACATGAATTATAAACTGTTTGGCTGATGGCTCAGACTTGTTATTGGCTAGCTCTCTGGTTCTTTTGTTTTGTTTTGTTTGTTTGCTTTGTTTTTCAAGACAGGGTTTCTCTGTGTAGCTTTGGAGGGCTAGCTCTCTTTTAATTATTAACTCTTATCTATTAAACTATGAATTGCCACGAGGCTGTGGCTTACCCATAATCCAGCATGTTACTCCTTCAGTCACTACATGGCACCTCTCTCTCTCTCTCTCTCTCTCTCTCTCTTTTCCTCTCTCTGCTTCTTTCCACCTTCCTCTCCTCAGAATTATCCTTGTCTCACATCCCCACCTATACTTCCTGCCTAGCTACTGGCCAATCAGTGTTTTATTCATCAACCAATCAGAGAAACATATATACTGAACATTCCCCTATCCCTTAGGAATTTGGACTTCATCCTGAAGTCATGGAATAATTTATTCTTATTAATGGATATCTAATATTGTATGGCAAAGTCACATTTAGAAATATATACAGCTGTCAAGTGTGGTATTATATGCCTTTAACCCCACTACACAGGAGACAGAGGCAAATGTTCAAGTTCAAGGCCAGCCTGGTCTACATAATGGTTTCCAAGCCAGCCAGGGCTACACAGTCAGATCCTGTCTCGACAAAAACAAAAACAAAATAAAAAATATAAGCAGTACTCCACTGCAGGTTAGATTCCAGAAATTCAGTGGTAAAGAAAATGGATATGATTTCTTTAATCATAGTTCCTAATGTGAAAGATTTTACAATAAACAACCAAATTATTGCAAGGATCGGGTGAGTGTTCAGTAGGAACACTTTGTTTAACATGCACAAGGACCTAGGTAATCTCCAGCAATGAGGGGAGAAATAATGGTAACTCCAAGTTATAACAAATGCTAATGGCTGTGATGTTGCTCATTTTGTAAAGTGTATGCCTACCATGCACAAACCTGAGACTAAATAGGCCACAGACCTATGGGGAAACATAATACCATTCTGCTAAAGGAAAACAGAAATAAAATGATTCCTAATGACATACTGTTATACCCACAGATCAGTGTCTTCCTCAGCCCCATCAGGGAAGCTTGTTCTTGCACTAGATGGGAATCAGCACAGAGACCCACAACTGGACAATGTGAGAGAGAGGAAGACTTTGCAGCACTCAGTCCTAAATGGAATGTCTTCCTCAAACCCTTCCCCTCAAGGCTCAGGGATCTATATGGAAGAGGAGGCAGAAAGACTGGTAAGAGCCAGAGTGAAGAAGGACGACTCCATGGAAACAGCATCATCCAGACACAACAGAACTGATGCACATATACACTCACAGAGACTGTGGCAACACGCACAAGACCTGCACAGGTTCAAGCCAGACAGGGTCTCAGCACTGAGGGAGTAGACAGACACAGGGTCCCACCCCTAACCAAGAAGCCATCTGCAAGTGACACTCCTGCCAAAGTGAAAATCCGTTTTCTCCAATGTCTCCAGTATCACTAGATATATCAGCCACACTCCTGAGCAGACTCCATGCCCGGGAGTACTTACTTGGCCAACACAAAATGAACTCAATGGTATTTTTGTGGACTATTTGTTTCTTATTTGGGGGATTTGTTTTATTGAGAGAGAGAGAGAGAGAACATAAAGTTAAGTAAGAAAGGAGGTAGAAAGGACACAGGAGGAATTGGGGCTGGGGAAAAAATGATCAAAATATATGAAAGAGGTTAATAAATAAAATAGTAATGTTAAAAAAAAAATACTGGCCGGGCGGTGGTGGGACTAACATGTCGTTAGTCCCAGTACTCAGGAGGGAGAGGCAGCCAGATCTCAGTGAGTTCAAGGCCAGCCTGGTCTACAGAGTGAGTTCCATAACTGGCTCCATAGCTACTGAGAAACCCTGTCACAAAAAAAAAAAAAAAAAAAAAAAAAAAAAAAAAAAAAAAACTGTAAAAGGATCATTTTCACCAGGTGTTGGTGGCACACGCCTTTAATCCAAGCACTCAGGAGGCAGGTGGATCTCTGTGAGTTCAAGGCCAGCCTGGTCTACAGAGTGAGTTCCAGGACAGCCTCCAAAACAATACAGAGAAACCCTGTCTCAAAAAAACAAACAAACAAAAAAGGATCATTTTCTGTTGTTTCAGGCCACCAAGTTCTTTGCTATGATAATAACAGGAAATTAATTTTTGTTTTGAGATGCCTGTAAAGCACCCAAATAGATTTCAAATAAGCTGCTGGTAGAGTCTGAGGTCCCAAAGGTAATTACTGTCTGAAATATCCCCTAAGAATCCAAAAATGAATTCTTACCTCCAAGTCCTTTCGAATGCTCTCAAACTCTTCAATGTCATCGAGCTTGAGCTCCAGGCGAGTTGGTTTTCGTCTCAGCATATTGAAATCCACAGTAGGAGTCAGACCCAGGGAGCTATGGTCTATCAAAAACGGTGAGAGGAAAAACTTCGGGTGCAAGCTATAAACAGATAAATTCATAAACACAAACAATAAAATAAATGGGACATTAACTCTTTTAGCTTTCATGCAGACTTCAAAATCTTTAAGCATCTTTATTGCTGGGGGCTAAAGACATGGTTCTTTGGTTAAGAGCATATATTGCTCTTGCAGAAGACACAAGTTCAATTCCCAGCTTATAATTGCCTTTAATTCCAGCTTCAGATGCCTATGCCCTCCTTGGATACCTGAAAGCATGTGCACATACCTACATACATAGACTTAAAAATAAAATCTTTAAAAACAAAACTCAGCAAAGTACTAGTAAAGAGTCTAATCAGCAATCTATCTTTCTTTCCTTTCTGTCTTTCTTTTTTTCTCTCTTTCTTTCTAACACTTTTTAAGATGCTTTATTCAAACCTAGGGGACACTACAGATACAGTAGCACAGAACCTATTCTCTGTCCAGAGTTTTAGGTCAGAAACCAAGCTTGGGTCCCCAGACTCAGGTCTCAAGACCCTTCCAGCTGTGAGCTCCCAAGCATGACCCCCAACAATCACCCTAATCTTGTGTTCCAATTACCTCCAAAGAAATACACTAGCAAAAAAAAAAAAAAAGAAGAAAAAAAAAACAGGCAAGAGTCAAAGGAAGAAAGTTGGGGAGATAATTGAGCAAGTAAGAGCACTTCTTGCCCAAGCATGTGGACCTGCGTTCAAAGCCCGACACCCACATAAAAAGCATAGCCAGACAATGGTGGCACACCCCTTTCATCCCATCACTTGTGAGACAGAGACAGGCAAATCTCTTAGTTTAAGGCTAGCCTGGTCTACACAGCATGTTCCAAAACAGCCAAGGCTACACAAAAACCCTGTCTCAAGAAAAAAAAAAAAAAAAAAAGTTGGGCATGATCTCATAGGGGCCTATGATCTGAGCTATGGAGGTACGGAAGATTGCTGGGGTTTGCTGATGATCAGCCTGGCTCTGGATTCAGTGTGAGATCCTGTCTCAAGGAATAAGGAAGAATGGGACAGAGCAGGACACCCAGCAAACATCCTCAGGCCTCAAAGTATATACACCACACTCACAGTCACATACACACAAAGGAAAGGGGGAAATGGCTAACTATCTCATCTTTAATTAAGCATAGTTAGGGAAAGTGGACAAGCCATACATTCAATCTGCTTTCTATAAACATCACCAGAGATTGTGACCATACCTGGATGTTAAAACCATGGCTTAAATCTCATGAAAGCCAAACTTACCAATTCACAGGAGTGTCCACACGATCTAATGAGGTCCTAAATGGGTAAATCATGCATTAATTAGATGCTTTCTGTGCTGACCTAGAGATGTTTAAAGTCACTGTTGTAACCTGTGAAGAAAACAGACAAGACCAGAGACTATGATAATGTAGTATAAAATCGGAACTCTGAGCCCTGCATGAACGCTCAGCCCAGGCTAGGCTGCAGAGGAGTAGCTAGGGATGTCAATTCTCCATGGGAAAAGGTGTGTTTGTGAATTTGAAGGGTAGACAGAGACCAATAAGGCCACAGAAGTTCAAATCATTTTATACATATGGCAAATGAATGCTTGTGTTACCAAAGCCCATGTTTGTTTCAGAACAAAAACTAAGTGGAGCTAAGTACCCGTGGAAGGTATCATCTTTATGTCCTCCACAGTACCCATAATAAGCAGACAACAAGTTTTGGGATATACTAAGCTATCCAAATAGAAAAACTGAAACTAACTTTTTCTGAGTCCTAGACTCTGCTATTATTTTTTTTTCTCTTTAAAAACTTTAAAAACGTTTGCTTTTTGAAAAAAAATATAATTAATTTTTATTGGGTGTTGGTGGGAGCACACAGCTCCCTGAATAGAGGTCAGAGGACAACCTTTGGGAGTCAGTTTTCTCTTTCTACCATCAGGCTTGGCACAGGCTCCTTTTTTTTTGAGACAGGGTTTCTCTGTGGCTTTGGAGGCTGCCCTGGAACTAGCTCTTGTAGACCAAGCTGGTCTTGAACTCATAGAGGTCCACCTGCCTCTGCCTCCGGATAGCTGTGATTAAAGGCGAGAACTGGGATTAAAGACATGCGCCACCACCTCCAGGCTATCATGTTCTGTATGTAACTTTTATCGGAGGCTCATATTGTTAACTAAACTGTTTACCTCAATTTTTAAAGAACGGAATAGGTTTTAAAACTTCACAAGGCGAGGGGCGGTGATGGGCACGCCTTTAATCCCAGCTCTCGGGAGGCAGAGGCAGGCAGATCTCTGTGAGTTAGAGACCAGCCTGGTCTATAAGAGCTAGTTCCAGGACAGCCTCCAAAGCCACGGAAAATCCTTGTCTCAACCCCCACCTCACCCCCAAAAAAAGTTAAATGATAACAATCTAAGTGAAAGTTCTGCTATAGTGTGCATACAAATAAATTACTGTCGTATGGGACAAAAAACTATGATGTATACAAATGAAGAAACATTTATCTTTTTCTCAGGAGGCTTAGCACAACCAGGGGTTGATATAATCAATACAAAACACTGGCCCATGACATTTCAAATTATTTTATTCTAAATCAGCTACCACCTTCTACCAGATCCCTAAGTAAAGAAATGGAAGAGGAATCCAGCTCCAAAGAAAAAGGAAGAAATAATTAGAAGAAAAGTTTTCTACTTGTGTACACACTGAAAGCCTCAACACTAGAGGGCGATATTGAGTGCGGGTTAAAAGAACTGCTCTCCACCCGCTACTTTAGTAATCCTACTACACTATGGCTCCAGAACGACGGGTTAGCTTCATTTCTCACAATTATTTATTTTATGTACTCTGTTGTCTCGTGACTTGAATGACTAAAATAGAATATGCTCCTTGCGCATAATTTAGCATTTAGTAAGCAAAGCATTCGAAGAGAAAGTGTCCCTATGATTGCATTTGTTTGGGGAAGAGGCTTAAGAGTGGGAGTGAGTCTGTCCAGTTCAGCAAACACGAATATTTTGGCAATCCCCACAATCTTCATGTAAGGATAAAAAGAAAACCTTATCTCCGATGGCCTAGCATCAGTGGAGCGAGAGCTGCTGGTATGCACTCTCCCTGGCGCCTCCCTGGCCCCTTTATCTCAAAGACCACATACAAAGAATACGGTTGTAGACAAGTAACCCAACAACAAAGTAGGCCGCAGCTCCCCCGCCACGTCTTTATTTTAGTCCTAGAAGACTCTTCGAGTTTAATGTCTTCTTGAAGCCCAAAGTCACTGCGAAGCCACGCAGTTACGAGGGGCCCCCGGGAAGACTTCCGTGCCGACGTGGACAACAGTCCGCTTTCCCAGCTCCTAAGCTGCACTAGTCTAGGGAGAGATTTCCATGGCAACACAGCCCTCGGCTGCGAGATGACGGAAGGTCTCCCGAAGGAGAGCAGAGACCCTCGGTTCGCTCATGATTACAGTCGAGATCCACGAACCTACCTCTTTTCAGGCCTCTGCAGCTTCCCAGAACCTCAACTCCCACCATGAAGCCATTGCTGTCCTGCCCGAACTACACTTCCCAGGCTGCTCTGAGCCTCTCTTCCCACACGCCTCTTCTCCCGCGAGCTTGTGGAGACGCTCTATGAGGCCACGCCCCTCGACGCCAGCCGACGTTGGGCAACTACGACGACCAAGATACTTCGCGACTACCAGAGCACAGAGTACGCTCCTGGTACGTTTCCGGCCAGTGACGCACTTCCACTTTGCTGGGCGCGCGGTGGACGGTCTGAAAAGGAGAGCGCGGATTTGGTTAGGGCCTCGAGGCTCCAGAGCCCAGCATGGCCTCCTCACGAGCCTCTTCCACGGTACGGGGCTCCGGATCGCAGCTCAGGCCGGTCCTCTCCCAGAGAGGGCGGGGTCCCCGCGGGAAGGGGCCGTTACCTCGAGGGTCAGGGCGGAGGAGGAAGGCTGAGGGACCCTAGTGTGGAGCAGCCTTTTCCTGACTTCTAAACGCTTTCGTGTGCTACAGCTCTTTTTGCACCACTCTCACTTCAGCCCCGAGCGGTGAACACTGTCTCTAACTGCTCCAAAACACGGTGCTTAGAAGTGGAGACATGTCTTGACTTAAACTGTATGACTCGGGACTTAACGATGAGGCCTCCCAACTTCTAATCCGCTCTGGAAGTATTTGAAATGTGTATTCCAGTAACGTGGTGCACCGAAAGCCACCCTGATTGTTTAGGTTATTCTTGGTATTTGTCCAGTGATGGGCAGTTATTTTTGTAAAACCGGAGATTGCATTTCAAATAAAATAAAGTAAAAGGGCCCCAAAGCAAACCAGATACTTCAAACAGAAATTGATTCGTTGTATTTGTCTGCCAAACTTAACGAGAGTCTAAACTCGCACAAAATCAATCTTGACGGATACCCACCTTGTCCTTTAGCTTTTGGAGAAAATAAAATGAAAGCGTTAGTTTCATTCGTTTGGGAAGCATGGTTTACTAGGACCTTAACCAGGGTCTTTGATTTAACAGGCAACTAAAACTAAAGCACCTGATGATTTAGTTGCTCCTGTTGTGAAGAAACCACACATCTATTATGGAAGCTTGGAAGAGAAAGAGAGGGAACGTCTGGCCAAAGGAGAGTCTGGGATTTTGGGAAAAGAAGGACTCAAAGCAGGCATTGAAGCTGGAAATATTAATATAACCTCCGGTAAGACCCAAATTGTGAATCATCTTTACTTTTTTTTTTTTTTTTTTAACTGCCAGGGACTCCAACACAGGGTTTTTTTGCATGCTAGGCAAGTGTTCCACCACTGAACCACACATTTGGCTAGTCAGTTGCCTTTGAACTGCCTTCTGCCTCCTCCCGGGTACTAGAACCACGTCTACACTGCCCTGCACCTTTAATGATCCAATTTTCAGATGAACACCTTCCCAGACCAAGTAACATTAAGATTTATAGGGTCAAAACCTTCGATTCTTGGCCTGGGGGTCTACTTCAGGTGACAAAAGGTTTGCTGTGCAACCATTAGGGCTTGAGATTGATTCCCTGGAACCATGTTTTGTTTGGGGGACAGGGCTGAGGGGTTGGAGCTTTAGCTCAGTGGTTGAGCACTTGCCCAGCAAGCACAAGGGTTAGTCCTCATCTCTGAAAAAAACAAGGCAAAATAACAAAAAGGGGCTGGAGAGATGGCTCAGTGGTTTAGAGCACTAGCTGCTCTTCCAGAGGTCCTGAGTTCAATTCCCAGCAACTACATGGCAGCTCATAACCATCTATAAAGGGTTTGATGCCTTCTGACATGCAGGCATACATGCAGATAGAGCATCATATATAAAGTACATAATTAAATTTTTTAAAACTGAATGTGGTGGTAATCCCAATGTTGAGGAAACATTGACTTCCACATCTGCTCATGCACACATCCGTACTCTTCTGTTCTTACCATGGAGTCTTTGGCTTTCGCTTCTTGGCATTATCCAGAGCGTGTTTTTCTTATATTTCATACAGTTCCTGATACAAGTTACTGATGATCTTTGAAAACTTCAGTGGGTGTTTTGATTCATCAGTTGTATTTGTCTTTGGGAGATGTAGAGTAGTTCTGGCATTGATGCATGACTCAAGCTGTTTATAGTATTCTCTCCTTTACTTTTCTAGTTTGTTTCTTTGTGTCTTTACCTTTCAAGACAGGGTTTCTCTGTGTAGCCCTGGACTGCTCCTGAATGCTGGGATTAAAGGCGTGCACCACCATTGCCCAGCTTTCTAGTTATATTTTTTTTTCAAACCTAGATTAAAATAATGTTTTTTAGTATGAAGGGACAGTAATTTTAAAAGATTTTAAAAAATCAACATGTGTCTCTATGAGGTAGAAAATCTATATTGTGAATTGGATGTATTTCTTCTATAAATGGTACCATGATGTGTAAATTGTTTTATAGCCTACATTTTTTCCCTTGTATACTGTTGAGGTTTGTCTCTTTATATTACCGTCAAGAAATGTATTGATTAATTTTGGTTTTTGAGACAAGATCTCCACTATAGCTCAAGCTGGCCTAGAAGTTGTGGCAGTCTTTCTACTGTGCCCTCCTTGTACTGAATAACAGATGGGAGCCACCATGCCCAGCTTAAGAGTTTTATATTTTAAAAATAAAGTTATGCATATTTGTCATAAGCAATTAGATTAGCACAGAAAGGTAAAGTTTAGTGATGAGTACTTGCCTGGCATGATGGCACACACCTGTCATCCTAGCACTCATGTCCTGAAGGCAGGAAGGTCACAAGGACAGGGAGCATCCTAGGTTGCATAGCTTGAGCTGATCCTGTCTACACACCACTCAGGAGGTGGAGACAGGCTGTAATAAGGTGGAGTAGAGACAAGATCTGAGCCCTTTTGGACAGAGGAAGGGGACTGCTAGTTCTCTGATCTTCCAGCTTTTACCCCACTATCTGGCTCCTGGGTTTTATTGATTAAGATTAATTGGATTTACACTTCAGACATATTTATTAATAAAGAATTAAATCTTGCCTGAATATTTAATATTGCAAGACATGGAGCATTTTAAATGTTTTTCATGGTACATTCATTCATTCATTCATTCATTCATTTATTTATTTAAATCAGCAACTCAGATAGTGAGTTTTTTTTTGTTGTTGGCCCTTCCTTTCTTTCTGACAAGGTCTGTATGGCCCATGTTGTCCTGAAAGTCACTGTGTAGCCAAGTCTGACATTGATCTCCTGGTCTTCTTGCCTCCTCCCATGTGCAGATATTATAGGCATGCACTGCCACACTGAGCTCTTCACCATCCTTCTTTTCTGTTTTGGCCAAGCAACAATTTTAAATAATCAAACATTTTAATACAGTATAAGTGAGAGATAAAACTATTTGATACTTGATGCTGAGGAAATTAAATCTTTTTTTTCCCGTAGCTGAATCATGTCTCTATAAAAGCAAACTTTGTAAAAATGTGGAAATTTGGCCAGGCTCACACCTTTAATCCCAGCACTCAGGCGGATCTCTGTGAATTCGAAGCCAGTCTAGTCTACAAAGTGAGTTTCAGGACAGCCAAGGCTACACAGAGAAACCCTGTCTCAAAAAAGCCAAAAAAGGGATATTACAATTCATAACAGGCTTTTGAGGTAGTGTTCCTTAGTGTCGCATGGCATGACAGACTGTAAGTACATTGCAGAGTTGCACATGCTCAAAACCAAGGTTGCAGCAAAGATTCATGATGAGGCCCACAGGCCCTGCCAAAAGCAACCCTGATTTGTTTTGAATTTGATTTTGGATTAATTGTTGGTCACTGCATCTTCAGAAACCCTTCAATATTGCTGAATTCTTCAACAGCCCCACAGTTACATACCTTATGGCACTCTATCCAATATAAGAAGCTATATTCTAGGATACAGAGACTGATTGTTTCTTTCCCCCATGTTGCCTGTCCTTTGCATAGGGGAAGTATTTGAAATTGAGGAGCACATCAGTGAGCGGCAGGCAGAAGTCTTGGCAGAGTTTGAAAGAAGAAAGAGAGCCCGGCAAATCAATGTTTCCACGGATGACTCAGAGGTCAAGGCTTGCCTTCGAGCCTTGGGAGAACCTATCACACTTTTTGGAGAAGGCCCTGCTGAACGAAGAGAAAGGTATCCTTTATAGTTACACTTTTTTTGTTAATGACAAGGTTCTGGTATGTGTTCTATCAAACCCTTTCCTGCTCTCCTGTGAAGTTTGTTTGAAATGCTGGGGGTTTGTTGTTTTCTAAGATGTATTTTTGATTATGTAAATCCGTGTGCATCTGTGTGTAGTATTGTGCACATGAGTTCTGGTACCCTGGGAGTCCAGAAGAGGGTGTCATCCCCTGGAGCTAGAGTTAGAGGCACTTGTGAGCTGCCTGGTGTGGATTCTGGGAACTGAACTTGGGTCCTCTGGAAGAGCAGGAAGCATTCTTTAAAGGATACGTTTTAAAATCCTATTTATTTGTGTGTGTGTGGACATGTACATGCCTTCATACAGGAGTGGAGGTCACAGAACAACTTGTGAGAGTTGGTTCTCTCTCACTATGTGTCACAGTGTTCTGTCTCAAGTCAGCAGGCTTGGCAGTAGGCATTTTACCTGCTGATCCACCTCACCAGCCTGACTCGGTATATTTAATTTACTGTTTGTCTCTTTCATCTGCCATGTCTGTTGTCCTTTATCAAGATGAATGCCTTGAGTCCCAACTGCCACTACTTTAACTCAGGCCACCTCAGTGGCTTGGGCTTGCTGTGATCCTAAAGTCTGGTTTTCTGCCTTTATTCTTCTTCTCCTGCCTGTTGCCATGGCACTCTCACTCTCCCACCTGTTGCCATGACACTCTCACTCTCCCACCTGTTGCCATATCACTCTCATTGCAGACCCTCCTATGTGTAGTGTGAATTGCTCTGGTGACCCAGCCCCCACTTGAATACCAGTTTTGGCAGTCACCAAGCCTCCTCCTGTATCCCATATTCCAGCTCTACTGAACCATTTGTGGGTCTAAGCTCAGTCTGTTTTCCTGACTTTACATTTCTTTAACCCTCTGCCTCAACTGTCATTTTTCTGTTTTGACTCTTTGGCCTGAATGAGCACTTGACAACGCCTTTTCTGTAAAGCCTTCCCTGATACCTGCTCCACACTCCTCCCAAGCCTAGATTCCATACTTCTTCCATATTATTTCACATTCTGCTCACTGCTGTCTAATGCTGGTATAATGGACTGTGTTCTGTAGTCTCTTCAGAATTATTCTTTAGTTTTAGTTTTGTTATTGTTGTTTTCAGTCAGGGACTCACTATATAGCCTTGGCTGGCTGGAGCTCACCACCACACCTGGCTTTTAATTTTTATTTTATTGAAACAGGATCTCAACCTGTGGCACTGACTGGCCTGGAACTCACTTTGTAGACCAGGCTAGCCTAGAACTCAGGACAAGCCACCTACCTCTACCTCCAAATGCTGGGGTTAAAGGTGTGTGCCTTCAAGGCTAGTTCCTTCAGAATTATTTTTCCCCACCTGTTCTTCAAGACAAGATTGTTCTATCTAGCCCTAGCTGTCCTAGAACTCACTCTATAGACCACACTGGCCTGGAACTCAGAGATCCACCTGCCTCTGCCTCTCGAGTGCATCACCATGCACAGCTTGCAACTATTCTTAGTCATTAAATATACTTAGCCCCTGAATTAGTGCCTTGCTCAGCATGGCACTAAGTGGATTCCAGCTGTCCTTAGAGACTAAGTGACAGCTGTGTATAGATACCAGTTGACTCTAAATGGAAGAGAATAATTGCTGATAGCAGCATTTAGAAAGCCTTCAAATAAAGAGGAGTGGAGGGGGTCTGAGAGGGAAGAATAAAGGGTACACAGCCTTCCCCTTTGCTTGTGGTCTTGCTTTTTTCCTTGGTTTCTCTCATCCATAATCATATGAGGCCCCGAAATACTGACTAGGCAAATGCCAGAAGTAAACACTTGATGAATTTTAAATTGCACACCATTCTGAGTGATGTACTGAAATCCCACACCATCCAGCTGTGTCCCTTTGTCTTCTGTGTCCTTGCTGTCTATGCTGCCTTTCCATTAGTGTGCAGTAGAATAAGATATTTTGAGAGTGAGAAAGAAAACAGACCCTGTTCATATAATTTTAAAAATCTGGTTTTTTGTTACTAGCATTTTACCTTGCCTAATTTATGAATTAAACTTTATCATAATATGTGAGCTGGGAAAGACACACAGTATAGGTAAGGTTCATTGCTCCCTGCAGTTGTAGGCATTCTTGTGCAGGGATCTTGACACATCTCTCTCACAAGTGGTGATGGGGTCCTACTGAACCTTTTAACAGTCTTATTTCATCCATATTGATTTCTGACGTTTTTTTGTTACAGGTTAAGAAATATTCTCTCAGTGGTTGGAACTGATGCCTTAAAAAAGACAAAAAAAGATGATGAGAAATCTAAGAAGTCAAAAGAAGAGGTAAAATGTGAAGAAATTGGAGACTAGCTCTTTCCAGTGCCATGCTGTGCTAGGATGAGGAGAGGTATCTAGAGGTTCTGCCATTCTGGAATGGTTGATGGCAGGAATTGGTAATTCTTAAACAACTGTGAATGGTGCTGTAAATTCTCCATTCAAGAAGGCACTCAATGTGACTCAGTAAGAAACCAGAAACTAGTAAGACATCAAAGAAAAAAGTAGGGGCTGCAGAGATTGCTCTGCCCTTAAGAGTGTGCACTGCTCTTCAAGAGTCCAGCAGCCCACCACTGCTAAGCAATCTGATGCCATCTTCTGGCCTCCATGGCGTCTTCGTGCATATGTACATACCCCCACATAGACACATAACACATAGTTAAATAAATGTTTTTAAAGAAAACAAAAGGTAATTAATAGAAAGGACATGTGGCTGCTTCATTCTGTTACAATTCACTTTCTTTGTGAGCAATTACAATTAAGAACAGCCGTGGGGAGAGTCTGTGTGCTTCAGACCTAACATTTCTCCTGTTATTTCCTATTCAGTATCAGCAAACCTGGTACCATGAAGGGCCAAATAGCCTAAAGGTGGCCAGACTGTGGATTGCTAATTATTCACTCCCCAGGTAAGCAGAGGTCCAGAAGAAAGAAGTCTGTCGTTTCAGGGACTGGGGATAGACTCTATGATGGTGGTGTTTATTGTATGTGATTTAGAAGTAGTGTACAGACCCTTGTTGATAGCTCCTTAATGATGATGTTTATGGGTCACAGGGCAATGAAACGCTTGGAGGAGGCCCGTCTCCATAAGGAGATTCCTGAGACAACCAGAACCTCCCAGATGCAAGAGCTGCATAAATCTCTCCGGGTAAGATGCTCTTCACTGTTGTCCAGTCTCTTACGTTATTAGAGATTCTGTTTTGGCCCCACCCATAGGAAGGTAAAGGCAGTTACCCACATGCTACCTGGTAGGTCAGTGATGTAGGAGGAAGGCACTGTCAGCTGTGGTGACAAGAACATTCAGTGTTTGTGCTCACAGAGACAAATGTTTCTTTGGCTCTTGACTGCTCCCTTTTAGTAGGTCAAGCTGTGCTTTGCTTTTCTCTGGTTTTTTGTGTTTAGCTCACATAAAAGCTAATGAGGTACACTGACAGTGGTGGTGCACAACTTTAATCCCAGCACTCAGGAGGCAGAGGCAGGTGGATCTCTGTGAGATTGAGTCTAGCCTGGTTTACAGAGTGAGTTCCAGGACATCCAGGGCTACACAGAAACCCTAGGGCTTGTGGAGGTGATGAGGCTATGATAAACAAGTAACATTCCAGATAAGCCTTGATTCCATTCTTCAATAACATTAGTATCAACTAATATCAGCAAAGCATGAAGAAGTTTTGAGGTGAATTAAACTGACAGGTATAACTGCTGCCCCCTCCTTTTCACTCCCATCCCCTTCAGCCCCCATATTTTCCCAAAAGTGGAAAAGCCAAAAAATCTTAGATTAGCCTTTTAAATGATCACTTTTTTGTTGTTTTTGTTTTTTAGTCTTTGAATAATTTCTGCAGTCAGATTGGAGATGATCGGCCAATCTCCTATTGTCACTTTAGTCCCAATTCTAAAATGCTAGCCACAGCTTGTTGGTAAGTTTCATTTTACAATAACGTTTTCCTAAATTGTGCATGGGTTCAGAAAGAAAAATTGTCTTTGTCTCAGAGATCTTTCCCTCTATCCTCTTCTTCTGCTTCTCATGAGGCAGATGTCATGGCTCTACCTACTTGTACGCTTTGATGGAGCTGTTTGGCAGTTCTTACTACTCACAAAGGTCTCCAGAGATCCATGATATGTAGTGTCTATCATGTTCTTCCACTGGAGCTTTGGAATTTAATAAGCCCAGAATATATTTTCATGCCTTAGACCAGCTTTGCTTTCTTAGTTCTATGGTCTCGCTGAGGTAGGCCACCTACCTCTGTGCCTTTATCTGTATGGTTGGGACAGCAGCTAACATTTGCCGTGCATTTGGTAAGAACTTGGTAAATGTTATTAGTCTTATCTTTGTTTTGTACATATTAACACATATACGGGAAACTCTCAGGATATGTGTTCACTTTGGTTTTGGGGTGCTGGGGTGTGTGTAATTGTGTGTGGGTTTGTGTGTATGTGTTTATGTGGGCACGTGTGCATGTGCAGTTCAGTATGGAAATGCACATGGAGGCCAGAGGCCAATATTAGATGTCTACTTTCCCCAATTGCTCTCCACATTATTTTGAAACAGGGTCTCTTACTGAATTATCACTTCACCTAGACTGACTGGCCCGTGAGCCCCAGGGATCTGCCTGTCCCTGGGCTGGGGATATGGACATTATATACTGAACTTGTACATGAGTGCTGGGAACCTGGGTTCAAGTCCTCTTGTGTTCATAGCAAGCACTTTATTGAGCATGTGAGCCAATTCTTGAATCCTGTTTCATTTTATTTTTACTTTGTTCTGGATCATGGCTATCTAAGAAAGAGGAAACTTAACATTGACTACAGGGGAATTGCTTCAGTAGGCAGAAAGTGAAGCTTTGGTTCAGGAGAAAGCTAAAGGCTAAAGTATTTGGTAGGTGACAAAAAAATGCTTGGATTTCAGGTCCTGCCATTATTGACCCAATTTAGTTTTTCTCCTTCCCTTACAAATTGTCCTGTACATTAAGAATAGCAGCTTGCATTCCATGATAGTGTAGAGGAGGCAACTGGTTGCCTAAGAGCTGCTGTATCTCTCTTTGCAACAAGCCTTTGCTTTTTCTTTTGGCCACTGTTGAGTGTATAGGAGAAAGACAAAATTGTCCTTCAGTAATGTTACGAAAGTGCCTTTTCCTTCCCAGACCAACCCTGGCTGAGATGCTTTCCTTTGTGTTTGATAGGAGTGGGCTTTGCAAGCTCTGGTCTGTCCCTGACTGCAGCCTCCTTCACACTCTTCGAGGTGAGTTACAGGTACAGTCTCATTCTTTTCTCGGCAAACTCTGTTAAACGGTTAAACTCCAGTTGATGCTCAGATACAACACACAGCATTGCTTCTGTATATGTCAACGTTTGTGTACATATATAAGTGCCAGCAGAGACCAGGTGAAGGTGTCTGATCCCCTGGAGCTGGAGTTCCAGGCAGTTGTGAGCCACCTGATATGGGTTCTGGGAACCAAACTCAGGTCCACTGCAAGAGCACAAGATCCATTAACTGGTGAGCCATCTTTCCAGTCCATGCATTGCACTTTCATTTGAGCAAATGTGGGTGGTATTCTCTCCCCACAACACCAGAATATTATGACTTCACATGCATGCAGTCTGTCCTCCTGTCTAGCCACACTGGCTTTTACAGCATCTAAATTAAAAGACAGAAAGGTTTAGTCTTTTGGGAATGGAGTCTTACTCTGTTTCCCAGGCTGGCTTCAATTCAGTACCTTCTTGCCTTAGCCTTCCAAGTCTGGAATTACAGATATAATCCACTATGCCATTTTTTGCCCTGTTTTTTTCTAAATTCCAAAAAAAAATTCAATTTGAGTATTTGTTTAAAACAATTCTTTTTGGGGCTACAGAGAAGGCTAAGCAGCTAAAAACATGCATTACCTTTACATAGAACCTGAGTTTAGTTCCCAGAACCCACATCAGGTGGCTTACAACTGCCTATAATTCTGGCTCTAATGACCTCCATAGCACCTGTGTTCATGTGCACATTCTCACACACACATACATAATTTTAAAATAAATAAATAGCTGGGTATGGTGGACACACCTTAATCTCATCACTCAGGAGGCAGAGGTAGATAGATCTTTGTAAATTCAAAGTCAGCCTGGTCTGCAAAGCAAGTTTCAGGCCAGCCAGAACTACATAAAGACACCCTGTCTCAAAAATAACTAAATGTGTTTTTTTGTTTGTTTGTTTGTTTTTTGGGGGGGTTAGTAGTTAACTAGTCACTTTAATTCTGCCTGCTCACATTCCCTAGTATGTACTTTTCTGTGTTCTTCATATAGTCTCTGTTTGCTCATAGATTATGAAGAGGTAAGAACCCTCTAACTCTGCTCTCCTTTAACTCTTTAGGCCATAACACAAATGTAGGAGCAATTGTGTTCCATCCTAAATCTACTGTCTCATTGGACCAAAAGGATGTCAACTTGGCTTCTTGTGCTGCTGATGGTTCTGTGAAGCTTTGGAGTCTGGACAGGTGATTCCCTTCTGCAGTCCACAGTGCCATCCCTAAAGAAAGTGGTTGGCTAGCCCTTTAGGTTTGAAAATGGGATATTTAACCCCAGACATGCTTCAAGAGTCCAGGGAACTCACTGAAAATAGAAGATGTCTTTCTTAGACCTTTTCTGTTCAAAGAAGTTATACTGGGATTTTCTTTCCTTGCTTACTTTTAGTCCTCAGTTTTTGCCTTTAGCATAATAAGTCACTGATTCCCAGCTCCCATTCTAAAACAACCCAGTTTAATCTACATGGTAGGTTAGCATTAGCAAAACGAAGTTTTGTGGATGGGCTAAAGATAATCATCTTGGCAGCCTCTTGGATCTATGCACATGGCCACAGAGGAGAGGAAAAGTGAGGTTCTATCTGGCAGTACAGGCCACTGGTATCCTTTACCAGTGTATTTTACAACCACAGCACGTTTTCTTTCTTCATATGGATGTTTTTACTTGTCTTCTCAATTTTGGAAACATACTGTGATCTGAAAGACTTTTTGAATGTCCATTTTTCTTTCCTAGAGAAAGCATAGCAAGGTTTTTATTACAAAATTTTCCAAAGCACTAATTAGCATCTACAATCTTTGCCAGATAGGGTCTCAGCTAGTAGCATGGCAAGTTTTAATTGGCTTTCGTAATATTTAGCAACACTTATCCCCATAGGGCCCTGGTTGGGTCTGTGTGTACTCATTGACAGCACTCCCTTCTAATTGCCCTGTTTAGGCTCATGTTTATTTCCTCTCTCTAGAGTTTCAGCCTTTGTGTTGTTGCTAGGTAGCAGAAATTATTGGCCATCCAGAGGACACTGAGTCATTCTAGCTTAGGAGTTCTTTTTTAATTTGGATCTTTGAACGGGATAACGGTTAAATAAGTCCGGAACCCATTGGACCAAAACTGATTTCAGTATCCACACCTCTACCAAAGTATATTTTCTTTTTTGAATCCATGCACTATTTTGAAGCAGTGGAACTATTTTGCTCATCGTGGAGAATTTATTAACGCACTGAATTAAAATAGTGATCACTTTGCGTTGTGGTTGAAGAAATAATCCTCCATGTTTCAGAACCTTAACAAGTAGCTTAAATGATTGTTATCCCTAAGATTGTAACACATTGTAGGTACAGTAACAAAGTTAGCACAGAACCTTGTGCAGGGTGCAGTCAGCCCCCTGTGCTGCTCAGTGTAGAAAGTGCATGGTGATACTTGTGTACAAACTACAGAGTGGGCGTACCTGCACAGCAGCAAATAAACTGAGAGGGTTGTTCATGGCTGTCAAGGTGTTTAACCCCTGAATATATTTGGTTCCTTTCAGTGATGAACCAGTGGCAGATATTGAAGGCCATACGGTTCGTGTGGCTCGGGTAATGTGGCATCCATCAGGGCGTTTCCTGGGCACGACCTGGTAAGCCATCCATTAGTGTCCAGTTTGTGTACAAGCCTGTTGGTTTTGATAATCCTTTTCAGTTATCTGCCAGGTAAATATTTAGAGCAAGGATCTTGATTAGAACTTTCTCAAACTTAAGTAATAGAATCAGAAAAAAAGTCAAATATTTTTAAATATATTTCCTTTTAAATCTTACTGAGTGTGCTACACGTTATATTGAAATCTCTCTCAGCTAGGTGTGATGGCACAAACCTACAATCCTAACACTCAGCAGGCTAAAGCAAGAAGATCACAAGCTTAGGGCCAGCCTGAGCTACATAGCAAGACCTTTTTAAAAAATAAAATAGAGCTGGGCAGTGTGGCAGACACTTTTTAATCCCAGCACTCAGGGCAGAGACAGGTGGATCTCTGTAAGTTCAAGGCCAGCATGATCTAAAGGGAAGCTCAAGACAGCTAGGGCTACACAGAGACCCTGTTTTGAAAAAAAAAAAAATAATAATAAGTAAAATAGAAACACTAATATATAAAATTTCTCTGTGCCAACACCTTGACTTCTTTTTCTGGTTCTGTAAGTTTAGTGAGGCTTAGTTCTACTAAAACTTTTTTCTTTGAGGTTTGAGTAACGTACAATAGAATGGGGTGGTTTTATTGTACAAGTGCCTACTGCTTATGACCCACGCCCTTACCAGTAGTCTCTCTCAGCCAGCAGAGCTCTCTTCGAGCCCCTTCTCACTCTCCCCTTCCAGAGCAGCCGCTGACTTGATTTGTTCGTTCTGCCTGTTTATACCCATTTGTGCTATTAAGCTGAGTGTAGTCTATTGTGTGTCTGTTCCAGTTTATGCGTTCTCCTATTGATGGACACATGGGCATGTTTCTGGGTTGTGGCTAGTCAAGATAAAGCCACTATAAATATTCTCTTGTCTTTTAATGTGTGTCTATGTGCTTCATGCCCAGAAGCTGAGAAGGTGCATTGGATCATCTAGAATTAGAGTTGCACAAGGTTGTGAGCTGTCATGTGGGTGCTAGGACTCAGACCTGGGTCCTCTGGAAGAGCAGCCCATGCTCTTAACCACTAAGCCATCTCTCTATCCCTGACTAATTAAATATTCTTATTGGAGCGTTTTATATTGTTTGGGGTTGGGTTTTTTTTCCCCCCTTTCTCTTGGGTAAATACTAAGGAGTACAGTTGCTAGTTCATAGAGTAAATGTATATTTAGCTTTCTAAAAACATTCAGGCAAGCTGGGTTCAGTGCCTGAACCCAGTGCCTGAACCCAGCAGGGGGATCTTGAGTTTGAAGCCAGCCTGGGCTTCATAGTAGGACCCCATTCCCCAGAATAAAAACATGTGAACAACTGAGTCTATTTCATATCTTTGTCAATGTTTGCTGTGTTGGTCTTTTATCTCACCCATTGTAGCTGGCACATAGTAAACCTTATATTAGTGTTAACTGCCCTGACAGCTGTTGCTGTTGAGTATTTTGCCATGTGCTTTGCCCTTCTTGAGTTTATTTTTTTCTGTATTTGTACCGCCATAGCCTGTTTGTTGCCATCATTGAAGATTTCTATTAAAATTGTTTTAGCACCCTAATGAAAGCTGATCATATATATTTGGGTCTTTTTCTGTATCTGCTCTATTTGTCCATCTGAATTTTTTTTTATGCCCAATAAATATACAAATGCTTGCTTGATGGATGAAGGGATATAACAATAGAATGAGGAGAGGAAAAAAAAATGCAGTCTTTGCCAAACTGTTCTTTAAGAATTTTGTTTTTGTTTGTGCTGGTGGTTGAACCCAGGGCCCTGCACATACGAGGCAAGCCCTGCCCCCTACTATTGAGCCCAAACCCCAAACCAGGGAATTCTTTTTGAAAATACCTGCTAAAGCAAAGTACAAAATGTTCTTGGTCTCCCAGTTGTCACTAAGACATACAGGCTTGAATGGTGAGGCATTGTTTATGCCAGAAAGGAATTTCTTGTTAGTATGACTGAATGATATTTATAGTACCTTGTATATAGTAGACTGACTCAGTCTGCTGTTGATTGTTGGTATAGTTTATTTTATTTGTTTTTAAGTTACGACCGTTCATGGCGCTTATGGGATTTAGAGGCTCAAGAGGAGATCCTGCATCAGGAAGGCCACAGCATGGGTGTGTATGACATTGCCTTCCATCAAGATGGCTCTTTGGCTGGCACTGGGTAAGCTTCCTCCACAAAGCAAGGGTTGGGCAGGTCAGTAGTCTCACCTCTTAGGCATCCCTGCTTCCCTGTGGAACTGGGTTTAGAGTACTCACATGTATGTTGTTTCTTCAGGGGACTGGATGCATTTGGTCGAGTTTGGGACCTACGCACAGGACGTTGCATTATGTTCCTAGAAGGCCACCTGAAGGAAATCTATGGGATAAATTTCTCCCCCAATGGGTAAAGCACAATCAGTGAACGGGAAGGGTTCTGGTCAGATAGTACTTTTTGTTTCTAACTGTGATACTTCTGATCCACAGCTACCACATTGCAACTGGCAGTGGTGACAACACCTGCAAAGTGTGGGACCTTCGACAACGACGTTGTGTCTACACCATCCCTGCTCATCAGAACTTAGTGACCGGTGTCAAGTTTGAGCGTAAGTTTTGCTCTTGTTCTCAGCCTTAACATCAGACCCTTTGCTTCATGGACTACATGCCAGGCATTAGACTTAGACATGGAACCTCTGTTACAGAAGCAAATTTTAATTTCCTTCCTTCTGCCATACCTACAGACAAAGCTATGGCAAAATATGCTTCTTGAGGCTAAGACTTCTGTTCAGGTTCTGTTCCATTTTGTCCTCCATGAATGGTCAGGCACTAAATGCTTGATGTTACTGTCCACCAGGGAAAGAGCACATAGACTTCATTCCGTTACTTGGTTGTCCTCAATCTGCTCGTGACTGTTCCTTAATCGTACAGGGCCCCCTAGGAATGTAGACTCTGTTACGTTTGTCTGAGATTAATATGTTTTGGCAGATCTTTGTGCTTTTTTTTTTTTTTTTTTTTTTTTAAGCCCTTTTTTAATTGCTCATGTTTGCTTAATTTCTCCTGCAGCTATCCATGGAGACTTCTTGCTCACAGGTGCCTATGATAACACAGCCAAGATCTGGACCCACCCAGGCTGGTCCCCATTGAAGACTTTGGCTGGTCATGAGGGCAAAGTAATGGGCCTAGACATTTCTTCTGATGGGCAACTCATAGCCACTTGCTCATATGACAGGACCTTCAAGCTCTGGATGGCAGAGTAGGCAAGACCATGGAAGGACTTGGACCTTGTGCTCTCACCGAGGAGCCATTTTCCTCAGAGGAAAAGAATTGTGTTGTGTTCTATCATGTTTTCTGCCAAATACCATGTGTAGGATTGGATTTTCACAACAACCCCACTTCTGAGTAACCCAGTCTCTAGGTGATGGCAAACCCTTCATGGTTAGAATACAATTCTCATCTCAGGTTCTGCCATAAACCATAAACTGTGTAGACATTGTTTAGACTAATCGATTTGAATGTTCTCCCATCTCTTTCGGTTTCAGTACTCAGGATTGGGATTTTTTTTTTTTTTTTTTTCTTTTTTGTATTTTGAGACAGGGTCTGTCTGTTTAGTCCTGACTGTCCTGTCTATGACAGGAGGCCTCACATTTTAAGTGACTCTCTGGCTTCTGCCTTCCAAGTGATGGCATTACAGAAGTGTGCTGCTGGGCCTTACAGTTGCTTTTGTAATGCTTGAAAAGTGGCTGGCTGTAACATGGTATGTGCTCTGTACTACATGTGATTCAGCAGGAAGATAGCAGACTGCATTTGAAACTCCCCCAGTTAAGAGGGCATGCCAGAAGGCAGGGACAGGCACTCACAGATCTCGAGGCCCGCCAGGTCTACAGAGGGAGTTCCAGGACAGGCTCCAAAGCTACAGAGAATCCCTGTCTCAAAAAACCAAAAGGCGGGGGCATTCTGCTCTAAGTGCTAGTTGAGCGGGGCCTGAGCAAGCTCCCCTCCTGCTCCAGAGGAGATGTCTGTCAAGCAGTAGACTGCAGCTGCATGATGATGCAGAAGCAAAGAAGATTGGCCTCTTCCTGTGGAGTTCACAGCTATGTTAACTGCATCAGGGAACTCAGAACTGAACATGTCTGCCTTGTTGGGGAAAACCTCTTCCATTTTGCTTTGAAGTTTGGCATCCTTCGAGATAAAACAAGGCCATTGTATCCAGATTCAAAGGAGTTTTTAGAAAACAAACATGTCTGTGGTACAACCTCCTTCCTGTTGATTATTTAAAGGGTGTACTTTATGTATTAAAAAGATACTTCGTGTCAAAGTAAATAAGGAAAAAAAATCCCTAATTTATGTTTGGGTGTTCCCAAACATGATCATTTTTTCTTTATTATACACTTGCTGAGAGTAAAATCCTACCATAAAAATGTCTTTCAAGGAGGTCCTCTTTAAGTTTTGAGAGCTAATGTAATTCCAGGGGTGAATTGTCCAATTTCTGACACTATTCACAGATGTTTATAGAGGGCTTTTTCAGGGGAAAGGGGTAGGGTTTTTTTGAGACAGGATCTTTCTGTGTAGCTCAGATTGGCGTCAGATTCTTAATGCTCCTGCCTCTGCATCTCAAGGTGCAAAGGGTGTACAGCTTTTTTTTTTAATAGAGTTGTTGGCCTAGGGAAGCCAACAGCAGTGAGCTGTGTCTGAGCTCCCTAATTCTTCATCAGTCTTGTGATTCTCTTCACCTTCCCACTGTGGGTATATATCCTCAAGAATTGAACAGTAAAATCCACACAAGACAGTAATGTAAGAAGGTCGTCTATATAGAGAGTAAAACTAGCATGAACTTGTATTCCGTATTCAAAACTACACTCTGCCAGCTTCCTGTTCTGTCCTGCCCCCTTCGGGTTATGGATATGTGGTATAGAGCAAAACATGGTTTGGGGTTTTTGTTTTTTTACAGAGTCTTACTATGTAGCCCTGGCTGGTCTAGAACTTAATGTATTAGACCAGGTTAAGCTCAAATTCAGTGATCACCTGCATCTGGCTTCCAAGAGCTAGTATTAAAGGGGTATGCCCACCACTCCCAGCAAAACATTTTAATCTGATTCCAGTTATAGCTAACCGTATTTCCTCTGTAGTTGTAAGCTTCTCAGGTCTATTCCTTCATTTGGAACTTACCACCCTTAACTTGTTCTATTCCCATAATAATGTGCCATAAAAAACACCTTTTTCTTGACTTTGTCATATTTGTAAAATGATGAGACTGCTGTGCTATCCTGCAATCAGAATCTAGCACTCCAGGTTTCGGTTTCTCTGGTTTAAGCTTTAACAATTTTTTGATTGTTCCAAGAGAGCATTTGAGTTGGAAATGTACTATATAAGCCTTAGAGCAAGTGTCTAGAGGAGGAATATCCCATTTCTTCAACCATTATAAGAGTGGAGCCTGAGCTGGTAGTGGTGGCCAGTGTCTTTAATCCCAGCTCTTGGGAGGCAAAGGCAGACCAGCCTAGTTTACAATGTGAATTCTGTGACAGCCAGAGCTGTAACAGAAACGCTGTCTTGAAAAAAAAAAAGAAGAATCTTGAATGGCAGACCTGTTTAATCACTTAACCCTGTCTAGGTGGTCTATCAGGCACACTAAGACAGCTCATTCTCTTAAAATTGCTGAGGTGTAGTTGGGTGGATGTGGTGCACACCTTTAATCCCAGCATTCGGGAGTTCAAGGCCAACCTGCTCTAGAGAGTGAGTTGTAGGACAGCCAGGGCTACACAGAAGATTGCTAAGATGTACACCCTTTTTATGGGCAAAACAGATTCAAGTGACCTGTTAAATTACCCAGCTAGTAAGCGGTGGAACCATTTGAGACCATGTGAAGTGGTTTCACAGAGCTTTGTGGGGAATGTTGGCCATGTGACAAGGCCAGGACAGCACATGTGGCCTGGCTGCTGAATTGTCAGTGTTTTCAACTTTCTGCCATTGACAAATCACCCCGACTTCATGGAAAATGGAGTTTGTTTTCCCACTCCTGTCTGGACTTGGAGCTTGTTGCTGCTGCATAGCAGACTTCTATCTAGACAGGCAAGGCTATCATGCAGAACAAGCAGCCTCAGGTCTATGTCCCCAACATCAGCATACCCAAAGATGATGTTCCCATGTGTTTCTAGATGTCCTGAAGTGGGTGAGACTGCTTGTTAGGATTTGATTCAGAAATGTCCCCAGCATTTGTCAGAACATAGGACTGGTGCAAAAAGGTCACCAGCAAGAGGTCATTAAAAGTTACTAGCCCAGCTTGTTTCCCACTGCTGTCTGCCTCCTGGTGTGCTGTGATGTGGCAAGCATCTGCAACAAGCTCCTTCCACAAGCTGTCCAAATCGACTTCCCCTCAAGTTGTTTATATCACAGTGACAGAAGTGACTAACACTGCCCCAAGATTAGAACTAACAAATGCAAAATAGAGACTAACATCCTAAACACACTTCTGTCCAATGTAACAAACTTACTAGTTTTGGAATATCCACCATACTGAGAAGTTGTATTCTTACAGAAAGGATGACAACACTTAGTGGATGGGTAACCCTGGCTTCCTTGGACCAGGGGCTCTGGAGGAGGAAAATGCTCCTTCTTGGGCTTGTGCCAGCTCTCTATCTGCCCCTGTCCCAGTTAGAGAATATGGTGAGATAGTTGCCTAACTTACTTGCCACAGTTAAGCCAAAGTAGGTAGAGAAATTAAGTCAGTGGGGAATGTGTCTCAACATCAGTGCAGTTTCCTGATGGGGTCAATGGAGACATTGGCGCTAGTCTCAGGAGGAACACAGAGGTACCTTTCCAGTTTCCGTAATGGAGAATTTTCCTCCATGCTGGAGCTTAAAACTATCTGAATTGCTAAATCAAAATATAGTTTCTATCTTGACCATTTCATAATATCTTGTACCTTGGATCCCCTAAGGAATTTATAAATAAATGATACTTCTGAGAAAATACTATTTACAGCTAATAAAACTGACTCAAGTTCTGACCTCTGACACCTTATTCTATAAATCAAAAAGAAAATAAAGTAGAATCTTTTCCTGATTGTGTGTTAGACACTTTGGGATTGTTTCAAGTCTGGAACCAGAACATGTTCAAACCAGAGAAGCAGTGCTTACATGGCATGGTGGCAGTCTGTCCAGCAGCAGCTGGCCTGGCTGAATTTTAGAATCTTGGTTCCTGGGTTCTGTCATATGAAGAGAAAACCAGGGTCACCCCTGTGCCCCAGGCTACTCAAGCCTGAGGTACAGCTGAAACATTAACCTCTGCCCAGGGGTCTGCCTTACCTCCGAGGCCAGAGTTAGGGTGCTGACCTCAGCTCTGTCTGCCCTGGAAACTAACCAGGGGAGCAGAGAACTTTGTCTCAAACCCCCAGCTCTGCCAGTCATCCTGGCTTCCTTCGCCTTTAGATCCATTTCTTCACACTGCATGCTGAAGAAATTCTGTACGCCCTCCCTTCCACTAAGGGCTACCTGCCACCCCAGGGCCTGTGAATCTTTTCTTCCCTTTCAGTCTCTGCCCAATAAATGATTGTGAAAGAAAGAAACCAATGAATTAAAGAATGCATGCTAGTTTTACTGGGAATGGCAACAAGAATTGGAGAGAAAGCTGAAAGGGGAGACAAATACATTGGCCCACAAATTGAAACACTCCAGAATTCAGTAACACATGAACAGCTAAACACAGCTCCAGTGAAAGATGCCACAAGCTATCTCAACTAGTCAGATGTCTGGACAGTGCTGTCCAGCCCTTTGGCACAACTTGCTATGTAGCCATGGAACCACAGAACTGCTTCTCTAGACTCCATGACCCCATAGTTTACTTTCAGGTCTCAGCTCTTCGTGTTGAGCCATCCCTGTTCTCCAAAGTAGACACATGTCTCTGGGCTGTCAAATGAGCAATACTACAAGGAAGACAACCTCAAAGGAGGCTCCGTAGTCCCCATTCCAGCAACCACAGTGAAAGGCTCTGTTCCTTGTGCTGGAACAGAGAGAGTGCTCACCCCACTCCCCAAAAGAACTGCTTAGTCCAAAAGATGGAGAAGATGAGCAGTAGGGTTACACTGAGGATAACAGCCATCAGGTAGGCAAAGATCCGAAAGTGAGGGTTGCGGATGCACTCTCTGAGAGAGTAGTGGCTGGGGATTGGGATGGGCACAGGCCTGGTGTCAGGGACTGTGTCCTGAGGGGGCCCAGTCTGGCTCCCAGGCTCTGTGCCAAGGTCCAGGGTATAGACCCGAGGCTGACGCAGTAAATAACGGCTCTTGGGTTGGTCCTTGAGACAGAGCTGGTGGCCCTCGAGGATGACATGGTGGGGTTCTAGGCGGAGCAGGGTCAACATGGCAGTGTCTGTAGGCAAGTCAGTGACTGGTTGCCCTGAAGCCAGCACGGTGGGCTGACGACAGAGTGGGCAGAGCAGACGGCGCCTGGCTGGGGCTACCAGGCTGAGGTGGGCCAGGCATTCCACACAGAAGGAGTGACAGCAGTCTAGTACTTTAGGGGTGTGGAACGTGTTGTTGAAGGGGTTCCAGCAGACAGGGCACTCAGCTGTGAGCTCTTGGCCCTGTGGTTCAGCCATCCTCGGATCACATGCAGGAGCTTCACAGGAGATGTCCTGGTAGAGGGAAGAAAGTAAAGCACACCCATGGGGCTCTGTCCTGGACTTGGTCTGCAGCCCTCAGCCCCGAGAGGCTACAAGCTGTCCACCCACATTTTACAGGTGGAAGAATGCATGTCTAAAAGCATTTTGTCCAAGAACACCCAGTCCTGGTCACAGACTTAAGTCTGAAGCTACACAGTTGCCCGTCACCCAGGGTGAAGGCCTGAGCCACCCTATGAGTCACCCTACCGGCAGCACCAGAATGAGCTGGCACTAGAGGGGACAAGCACTGGGGCTTTGGAGATGGCTAAAATTCAGCCTTTGCTCCCTGCATTTGCTCTAGGCTGCCTTGTCTATATGGAGCAAGAGAGTACCACACATTTGGTGAGTTTCCTTCCCTGCAACCTCACATCCCTGACTAGAGCAGAGAGGGACTGTGAATTGCCTGGTCTGTCCCTCCACTGGGGACAAATGCCAGCCCCCTTTCTGCTCCTTCCTTTGGGCCAAAGGTCAACTCTTCACAACAGACTGACCAGTCCTGGTCCTGGTGAACAACTCTTAAGCAGACTCCCTTACTCAGGGCCCCCCAGATCAGCTCTGTATGTTTCTTCCCAGTTCTCACCCTCCCTGGCTCCTCCTCCCTCTTTCTCCCAGCACCCACCTGGGCTTCTGTGGACTGTAGTGGGGGGATCAGAGAGACCACTCTGAAGAAAATGAGTTTCCAGTCTCCCTCTCCTGAATCCGCCTAGCCTTGGTAAAACGCCGCTTCACAGCCAACCCTAGGGCCGTTTCCATGACAGCATCCTCACAGCACCTGGAGCTGCCAGGTGGCCCTGGCTGCAGCCTCAGCAAACACACACCTGCCTGAAGTCAAGGCCAGAAACCTGCCAGAGTGGTGCCTGGGAGACCCAAACCCCCCGCCCCTCCCTCCACACACACACACAATTGAATGATGAGCAGATACAGGTCAGAGGGTGGCTCTTTTCATACCTGAAATCCCTGGACTGGAAAGGTAAAGGTGATAGTTTCCTCTTTCTAGATCAACATGAAGGCAAGTCTTCTGGGGTTCCTCTCTATTAGGCCCTCATTTCTTTTCTAAAATGCTGGAACCTCCTCCTTGCACAAAGGAGTTGCCTGCCATGTGCTTCACTTGCTGCACAAACCTATAAGATCTATCAAATTTCCCAAAGCCTGCTCCTCTCCTCACCTCTTAACTCCTCATCTAGGTAGCTACAACCAAAGCAGGCAAACCCTCAGGACAGGGACAGTCCAGCCCCAGAGCCGGCCATTCTGCCCACCTTGGAGAGGAGCATTCTAGCCCTGCTTCCCCATTTCAAGAGGAAATATTTGACTTTTATCTCTTGCTTATGTTGGCCATTTAAATGATTTGTAGAGTTGAGTTGCTGCTGGGGAAGCGTTTAAAAAAAACTACTTCTCGCCTGGCGGTGGTGGCACACACCTTGAATCCCAGCACTGCAGAGGCAGAGGCAGAGGCAGGTGGATCTCTGAGTTTGAAACCAGCCTGGTCTACAAGAGTTAGTTCCAGGACAGCTTTCAAAGCCACAGAGAAACCCTGTCTCGAACACCCCCACCCCCACCACGAAACAAAGAAAGGAAGGAAGGAAGGAAGAAAGGAAGGAAGGAAGAAAGAAAGAAAGAGAAAAAGAAAAAGAAAACTACTTCTCAGTTGAAACCATTCACTTTACACATGGAAACAAGTAGTGATTCTGGCTAGTTACAATGACACTGGGACACATGTGTTTAGATTCCCAGTCCACCATGCACTGCAGTCACAAAGACAGACGCTGCATCCACTCAGTCTATCTGTAATATATGTGGAAAGAGCTAAATAGGAAGTACTCCTGTTTCCTCTAAGATCCTTTGTGTCAGTTAAGATTCTCTGGGTAGGAACCCAGGAATTGTGCAAAGGAAGACTCCCTTGGAGATTTGATATGATGTTGTATATCTTGAGCAATTGGATACCTGAAGCAAAACCTGTGTCCACCTTTACCCTGGGCTTCCTGGTTTTGTCTAGCCCTCAGTCATTGCTCAAACATGGAATAAGGAGATGAAGACATTCAGGGAGAGATGGCAGAGCCATAACCAAAACTGGGAGTTCTACTAGGATGTGTGCTAATGCCTCATGCAGTGAGTCATTCTTTCCTTCCCAATCACTGAATGCTTACTACATGCCAGGTGCTGCACAACATACTCATAGATAATGGTGAACAAAATCACCCTTATCTTTGTTTTCATGACATTCATAGGCTGCTGAGAAACAAACAAAAAAAAATTTGTGTGTGTGTGTGTGTGTGTGTGTGTGTGTGTGTGTGTGTGTGTATCACTGTGTAGCCCTGGATGTCCTAGAACTCACTATGTAGACCAGATTGACCTCAAACTCACCAGAGATCCACATGCCTCTTCTTCCTGAATGCTGGGATCAAAGGCATGTGTCACCACACCTACTGAAATACATGATTTTAAGGAATGCTACAAAGTACACAAAATGGAATGGAAGGTTTCTCCAAATAGGTGGAGGAAGATCATGTCAGGCCCCAGGAACAGCACATCTGGAAGCCCAGAAGTGAATTCTGCCAATGTGAGGAAGTGAAAGGCCAGGATGACTGAGGGGCTGGGATAAACAAGAGTTCAAAGTGCTCAGAGTGAAGGCAGGAAGCATGATCTGTAAGTTCCAAAACTTGATTGAGTTTTATTGATGGGGTATGCCTAATCCTTGACTTAGTTTCATTTTCATTTGTTTGGAGGTTTTTGTTTATTTGAAATAGGATCTTATGCTACAGCTAAGGCTAGCTTGAACTTGCTGTTTGTCCAGACTTTCCTTGAACTCGTGGTCCTCTTGCCCTCTGAATCCCAAGTGCTGAGATTACAGGTGTGACCAACCATGAGGTTCCTAAATCCATTTTATTTTAATTTAAAAATGTGGAGTATTGAATGTATGTCTGTATACCAAGCAAATGCCTGGTGCTCGTGGAGGCCAGCAGAGGCTGTTGGAGGTCCAGGGGTTGGAGTTACAAACAGTTATGAGCTGTCATGCAGGTGCTAGGAATTGAATCTGGATGCTCTGGGAGTGCTCCTAATTGCTGAGCCATCTCTCTGGTCTCCTATTTCCAGCAATAATACAGAGGATTGACTAGAAAGGCCAAAACTGGAAACAAAAGGTCAGCTATCAAAGGGTCAGTTATGGCTACAGCAGTTAGTTCAAGTGTGTGACAGTGATGTCTGATTTAGGGGAGGTGAGGGTATAACTGAAAGAATATAGCACATAATAAATATTTGAAAAATGTTTAGCATCTATAGCCACCAGGAAAATGTAAATCAATACTGTATTGAGATTGCACCTCATCTAGTCTGAATGGCTATCAAGAAAACAAAGAACAAGTGGTGGCCAATCTTGTTTGTCAGTGAGGAAACTTGCCACCAAGCCCAATGACCTGAGTTCCAGGCCCTGGGCCCACATAGTAGAAGGAATGAACCAGCTTCCATAAGTTGTCCTCTGACCTCCCTGTGAGCACAATGGTGCACGCTCCTCCAAATGAATTTTAAAAAGTAAATAAAAATGAAAATAAGTGTTGATAAGGACTTGGAGAAGGAGGAATCTTTGTACACTGCTAGTGGGAGTGCAAACTGGGGAAGCCACTATGAAAATTAGTATGGGGCTCCTTGAACAACTGGAACTACTCTGTGACCCAGCCATATCCCCCCGGTGTGTACACCCGGGGGAGTCTAAATCAGCAGCATGGATATATATGCCACAGAGACATCTGTTCATTGCTGCACTATGAACAACCACCAAGACATGGAACCAGCCTAGTTGGCCATCAACAGATTAGTGGATTTTTAGAATAAGTGTTATATAAACACAATTGAGTTTTATTCAGTCATAAAGGATGAAATTACACTATTTGCAGCAAAGTGGAGGGAACTGGAGGTTACTTTGAAAAATATGTGCACCATAGAAAAATCTCTCCCAAAAGATGACATACCAAATGTTTTTGTTGTTGTTGTTTGTTTGTTTGTTTGTTTGAGGCAGGGTCTCATTTTATACCCTTGGCTAGCCTGGAACTCTCTACATAGACCAGGCTGGCCTCAAACGCACGTTGATCTGATGTCCTCTGCTTCCCAAGTTCTAGGCTTAATGGTATGCACCACCACTCCCAGAAACAACTAAATGTCAATAGTGGCCTTCAGTGTGGGCAAAACCACCAATCTGGTTTATTGCTAGAGCATTTGTTCTTAATTCTATTACTTAAAAATGTTGGCTTTGGGGCTGGAGAGATGGCTCAGCAGTTAAGAGCACTGGCTACTCTTCCAAACCTAGGTTCAGTTCCCAGCACTGACATGGGAGCTCACATCTGTCTGTAACTCCATCTGCAGGGGATTCAACACCCTCACACAGATAGATGTACATGCAGGCAAAGACCAATGCATATAAAATAAGAATAAACAAACCATTAAAAAATAAAGAAAGGAAACGTTAACTTTGTTCTGGTAAGCTTGTCTTCCAATCCCGGAAGACACCCCCACCCCGTCATCCTAGACCAGACCTACATTCTCTGAAGTGCAATGGCCACAGCTATAAATGGATGGTCCGTAAAGAGATGTGAATGTTGGAATGTTGTCTGGGTCCTTGTCAGAGGTGCTTCTCTTAGGCACCCACTGCACAGAGTTCAGTGTCTCTAGGAGACACTCAGTGACTTATGGACCCCAGCTTCCTACCTGGATAACTCGGCAACAGTAAATTCTAAACACCAGATGGCAGTTATTATTAGCAGTAACTTGTCTGGAGCACCCCTGTACCCCCATGTTGTCAACACCCTGCCAGCGGGCGTAGAGAACTGGCATTCTGATGGCACTTGATGGCTTTCCAAGGGGGCTGGTCCTTGCTAGTAGCTGAATATGGTAACACATCTAGAAAACCCAATTGCCTTTTACAACTGTTTCCATTTTTATGAGGCCATTTGATTCTCTAAACCCTGCCTACAAACAAGATAGACAGAGGAGTAAAGAGTCTTCACGATTTGAAACAAGACTCTTGCTGAACGGAATGGATGACTTCATTTCTCTGAACTCCACTTCCCTCTGTTGAAGAAACTCACGAGCCCTCCTTACAGGCTGCTGGGAGGATGGAGTTGTCCTTAGCATGGCACAGTGGGTGTACTGACCGTACAGGAGTTAGCATGATTTTGTTAATGCCCATCTGATAGATGGCGAGACTGGGGCTTGGGGTGTAAAGTGACTTGACCAGGGCTTCAGAGCCAGGGTGACGGAGCTTGAAAACTGACCCAGGATTCTGCCTTCAGGGTCTCAGTTCATACCAAGCAATGTCATCTGCTCCAACCTCTCCCACCCTTACCTCCTTACCAGCTTCAGCAAGCCTTCTTCACTCTCAGCACAGTATCCAGGCGGGTGCTTCAGTTTCTTGCTTCTGTCCTGGCTTCCAAGTTGCTGGGGGCCAGCCTCATTTGCATGGGTTTCCCAGCTCTTGAGCACTCTCTGGCTGGTTTCCTCCTCGGGTGACTTTGGACTTCTGCACATACAAGAGACCTAGACGTTTGCTTCTGTGAGTCACCCTTGCTTTCTCTGAGCGGGTAGAAGGAAGTCCACTCATCCTTGCAAGCTTCTGTTCTGGAACGGGAGGGGCTCTAGCCTTCCTCTTGCTCTGGACTGACCTGTCTGGACTTGCCCTCAGCCTGACTTCAGGGAAGCCAGGGGATCCCTAAAGCCAGATACATGGCTTCTCTGAGGCCCTGCAATGAAGGCACACCAAGAGCTCTTGCAAAATACAAGATAACCCAGCAGGAAAACAAAACAAAACCAAAAAATGAATGACAGTTCAGTAAGCATAAGCCAGAAGTACCTGAATTCTTCAACAAGCCACTGGGAATCCAGAACCAGTGGCTTCTGCATACACACTAGCCATGAGGACAGGACTTCACCTCACCTGCCCTTGGGTTCTTCACCTGAAATTGGAGGGGGAAAAAAAAATCCACCTACTGGGGCTGGGGCTAAGAGTACTTACTATGCAAGTACAAGAACCTGAATTCAAATCCCAAACACTTGAGTAAAAATCTGGGCATGCCTATAACCCTAGCATTGGAGAGGGTGAAGGGTGGAGATTGGCTGGCTGGTCCTGGGAGCCAGCTGGCCAGCCTACCCAAACAGCAAGCTTCCAGGTTGATGGAAGACTCTGCCTCAAAAGAATAGAGCAGAAACATCTGATATCCTCCCCTGAAGGCTACATGCCACACACACACACACACACACACACACACACACACACATACACACCTACCTACCTGCAGATTAAATGAGATAATACACAGAAATGTTGCTATATGGTAAATGGCACACAGAAGCACACAGTAAGCTTCAATTAAAAACTGTAACATGATCAAGTAAATAATGAAATACAAATGGAGCACACACACAGAAGTTCAAATGGAGACTGGAAGACTGGCCCTGTAATCTGTCCTATGGCCTCACCATCTTACAAAATGTATTCCATATGGCCCATTTTTGCTCCCTTTTGCCGGGGGGGGGGGCAGTTTGAGACAGCATTTCTCTGTAACAATCAGAGCTGTCCTAGAACTCACTTTGTAAACCACGCTGTCCTCAAACTCACAGAAATCCTCCTTCGTCTGCTTCTGCAGTGCTGGAATTGAAGGCACATACTGACACCACCCGGCTAACATTATTTTTGAACAGGGTCATTCATGTGTTTATGAAAGGCTTGATTTTGTAGCAAAAGCTCTCTTTTCCCAGCCATTTAGTTGCACCCAAAATTAAAGTATTACACTATATGCTTTTTGTGTCTCTTTTCAAAGATGTCTTGTGTGTGCACAAGCAAAATGACTGGGTTCTTTGTTCCTTCTCATCCTTTTCTCCACATGTGTATTCTCCAAGCTGCTTGACCCCTTGCTGCAAATGTCCTTACTCACTGGTCCTCACCATACCTACTGTTCTTGTTTTTGTAATGGCTATATTGTTTCACTGATGGCTGTGCCATCAATTACTTAACTAATCGCCTAATAATCTAACCCTTAATAGAAATTCGTTGCTGTTGCTTTGTTTTGATTCAGGATGTCCTGGCAACCCAGGCTAGTCTCAAACTCACTATGTTGCAAAGGCTAGCCTCCACCTGGTCATCCTCTTGTCACCACCTCCCAAGTGCTAGAACTAAGGGCATGTGCCACCCACCATGCCTGGCAGAACCCTTTAAATATGTAAATACTACATGGAAAAATAGATACAATAGTAATAATAGATTTTAGATTAGCCTGGAGTTGTATGAAATGAAACTGTGGACTTTGGGGTATTTTATCTCTAAAGACTTTAAGCATCAGGGCTGGAGAAATGGCTCAGTGGTTTAGAGAACTGGTTGCTCCTCCCAAAGGACCTAGGCTGCATAACCAGTACCCAGTAACTACATGGTGACTCACAACTGTCTGTAACTCAGTCTCAGTGGATCCAACAACTTTTTCTGGCCTCTGCAGGCATGCACATAGTGCACAGAGATACATGCACGTGAAACACCCATAAATATAAAATTAAATGATTTTTTAAAAGACTTTAAAGCAAAGTAAGTAGTATAAGTAAGAAATCAGTCAGGCCATTGCAAGAAGTGAAGAAAGCATAAAATATGCCCTGGCCCTTCTCTGGGTCACTAACTGTCCTGTGAGGAGGTCATCGTCTTGATGTCTGTGGGTGGCCAGGCTAAGAAGTTCTTTGTAAACAATGGAATTTTTTTTTTTTTAAATCTGAGAGATACCCAGAAGAGAGGGTGAAGCATCTCAGGAATTTGAGAGTTAAATTAATTTAGTTCATGCTTGGGGGGGCCAGGCCAGCCAGCTGGAAAAGTACCTGCCCTAAGCAGTATCTTGGAACCTGTGAGCCAAGAGTCATAAGACGAGGTGGATCACAGCCAAGATGGGGGACCAGCGCTAAGGAGAGATTGACTATCTCGGAAGGAAGCAGGCTAGAGGATAAAACATCATAAAGAATGTTGTTACTGGAGATGAATTGTTCTGTCTAATTTTGTTAAAAAGAATCAACCTAGCCAGGGAATGGTGGCACTTGGGAAGCAGGTAGATCTCTATGAGTTCAAGGCCAGCCTGGTCTACAAAGTAATTTCCAGGACAGGCTCCAAAGCCACAGAGAAACCCTGTCTCAAAAAACCAGCCAAACAAAACAAAAGAATCAACCCAAAATCTTCAAGTATCACCACTTGCAACTGGAGTCACAGTTACTCTAAGGCAAGCAGAAGTCTGTAAGTAACCCCCCAAAACTCACTGGTTCACCAAGATAGACTCGGGTAGAACCATTTCTTTCTAGTCAGTCACTGGTGTCTTATCTGGGGTGTCCTAATTAGGATCACTATTGCTGTGATGAAACACCATGTCCAAAAGCATCTTGGGGAGGAAAGGGTTTACTTGAGTTACACTTCCACATCACTGTCCATCACTGAAGGAAGTCAGGACAGGAACTCATTCAGGACAGGAACCTGGAGGCAGGAGCTGAGGCAGAGGCCATGGAGGGATGCTGCTTATTGGCTTGTTTCCTCTGGCTTGATCAGACTGCTATGACCACTAGTCCAGAGACTGCCCCACCCACAATGGGATGTGTCTTCCCACATCAATCACTAATTAAGAAAATGCCCTACAGGCTTGCCTGAGCCTAATCTCATGGAGATATTGTTCTCTAGATTTCGGCTCACTCCTCTTCATTGATTCTAGCTTGAGTCAAGTTGACATAAAACTAGCCTGAACACTAGAGTGAATAGACATTTGTTCATGTATCCCCAGGAAAAGCTATACAATATAAAGAAATAACAGAAGGAAAAGGCTGGATGCTAGCAATCAAATATTGTGACCAAATACTCTGTAAACAAACAAGGCAAGTGCTCTGAAACAAAGGCAGGAACATCCAACGACCAGCTCAGAAGGAACCAATGGACCAGTGACTGAAACAAGAAGGTCCAGGCCCAGCCTTATATAACATGGCTCATTCAGCATGAACATCCCATAATAGAGCTTGACACTGATCTTGGTGACCGTTCTAGAGAAAGGGGTCATCTTGGCATTAAAGCCTCTTGACACAAAGCACTGCAGCACCTTGAAAAAGTAAGAGTGTTTACTCTGAGCCAAGTGTGAGTGATCACAGCCCAGGAGTGCAGACTCGGGTTGTCCTGATGACATGTTCTGCCGTGGAAGTGATTACATAGGTTTCTTTTTAAAATATGTATTTATTTATGTGTGTATGTGTTTGCCTGTGTGAGCTTGGCATGTGCATGCAGGAGCCCATGGGAGCCAGAAGAGGTCTTTGAATCCCTTGGAACCAGAGTTATATTTGGTTATGAGCCACCATGTGGGTGCTGGGAACAGAACCCAGGTCCTCTTAGGCTCTGAGCTATCCCTCCACCTCCTACATGAGCTTTTATTAGTCACAGAACAGAAGAAAGTCATAAACCAACACATTTACTAAACACATTAGTGAGGGCCATATGTAGGTGGGTTAAGCAGAGCAGGGGAAAATATCTACTATAGGTTTCCAATGTTGTCTGATGACATTCTTGGGCTTTGAATTGGTAGCAGCTGGTGGTCTCCTAAAGATAAATTTTAAATGTTTACTATTGGATCAGACACAGATGGACAATGAATGACTGATATGGAGACTGAAGATAACTCAAGATAATTTTGACCGTAGATCAGCAAATTTAAACTTCTCATCAGGAAGTTCTGATTGGCCAGTCATCCTTGTAGGCACTTTAACTTAGGTGTGGCTTTTTCCTGTTCTGTGTGGTCCAAGTTCTGGCCATTAGACAAAAGCCAGCATTCCTCAGGAACTGGTGAGGCAGGTTCCCCTCTACCAAAGGAGCCAGTTTCCTTATTGTTGGCAGAAGGGACAGATGGCTATCTGAGGTGCCTATTAGCATACCAAAGTACATGCCAGCCTCCAGGTTCTCCCAATATCACAAGAACCTAGTTCTTCTCATCTCTACTGTAAACTACTCCAGTTCAGCCTTTCCATCCTGCCCCAGCTTCTCAATAGCAGGACACCCTGCTATTTTGGCTATACTCTTCTTTTTTTCCCCCCTCTCTCTTGGATCTCATCTCTCTTTGTCTTCTTCTCTCACTCTGCCCTTCTCTCTGTTCTTCCCCAATCCAGTCTGCTGGCCATGCTCAATCTACTACTTTCTCTCCCTGCTCTGGACTCTTCCAGGTGCCTCTGGCTGTACTCTCCCTCAATCTACAATAAAATCCTTCCACTTAACCATAACATAACCAGTCATGTCATCAGTTTAAACATTGCCCTCCCCACCAAGTCTTGAACGATATTCTACAGTTTATTATGAATACTGATAACAGAAGAATAAACGACACCTTATACAACATAGTATATGAAATAAACAAAGTATATGAAATTTTGGCATCAAATTTAATGAAAAAGATCTTGATTTTTGGAGCAAGGGATTTGGAGATTAAGGATAGGATTTTAGGCTGCCGATCTCTTTACTTTACATGTAGACTGTGTCAGTTGAATGAAATTGGAAACAGCAGAGCAGCTTTATCTTCTAGCCCTTTCTGACCCCTTGGCTGATCCAGATTATCAAAACAGCTCAGCTAATACAGATGCTAATTGTCAGAGCTGAGGCTGGAACCCAGCCCCTCAAATTTCCCTCCCTTTCCTGAGGAC